TACGTTTTTCAACTTAATGTCTCGATGAACAAGTCCTTGTGAATGAAGATATCGTATTCCTTCTAAGACATCTATTGCTATTTGTATACGCTCTAGCCAAGATAAACCAGCACGTATTCCGCAATATAAGTCTCGGCTTAAACGATCCGATATCAAAAGAACTGCAGATCCAAGGCCAAATCCTCCACCATAAGATAAGTCTATAACTGATCCTCGAAGTTTTACTATCCTTTTGTGATCTGGAATAGATCTAGTGTAATAAAATTCCATAGCGAGATCATTCCAATGCTTTTCATCTGGTGGAACGACTGATTTAACCGCACAGGGACCTGGAGCACCGCCCCAACCATCGCAAGCAAATACTACACCGTACTGACCACGGCCAATTTCTTTACCACAGTGAGGAATTCCATAACGAACAACGTCTGTCATCGATGTTGATTCTAGCGCTAATTTAGCTAATCTAGGAGCATGATACATTCTGATTGCTATTCTCTGCTCTTCGGTTCTCTCTAATTTTCCAGAATAATAATTTTCCAAAGATCTCAGGGCTGCTTGGAACGAATCGTGCGAGGCTTTAAGTTTATCTCTGAATTGTGTAGATATTGTTCTAGCTAGCTTTGCCGCTGATAATGAATTCAATATGTCGATAGTAACTTTTTTTCGCCAAGCTGCATCTAAAATTGGCGCTGGTGACCACGGCAAAGGTAGAGACTTAAACAGTTGTTTCAATCTTTCTAAGAAAGAATGTATCAAAGACGGCGAAGAATTATTTAACTCGATATTATATGCGGCCGAAAGTATTTGCTTTAAAGCATCGCTAGCCAGCGAAGAAGAATCGCGTTCGCAGCTTTTTTCGAGACTTAATAAACATCGCTGTAACGTGCCGACAAATGTCTCACGCAAACAGTTGACAGAATTTACAAGCTGCTTAGCAACTTTTTCACCTAAACGTCCAAGCACCACTCGTTGAAGTTCGGAAGTTGCGGCTCTGATAGTTGCAGACCACTCTACCCTTTCTGTATCGTTAAAGGGAATGCTTTGACATGGATATACATCATTCTCTAATAATACATCGTTTTTCATCTCTTGTATGATAGCTTGTATTAATTCAGTTAATTCCTGTTGATTTTCATTGACGACTTTCATCAAACTGGCAAATAATTCATTTTCTTTCAGTTGAGCATATTGTATTCTTCTTGGAGTTATTTGAATTTTACGTGCCATATCGAACGCGCTTAAAATAAATTTTCGTAGACTAGTTGTATGTACTTCATTTAAATAAGTGCTAGCATTAATAAGATAGGTTTGCAAACATCCATGAATAAAATATAAAATCCGATCTGTCTTTTTGCATGAATCCACCAAGTCGCTAGAACTAACGTATTGTCCGCCGACTAACCAAGACAGTTGATCAACTTCAACAGATTCTTCCATACCAAGAAAACCTAAGTGCGTCAGCTGGTCCAGCCATGTTATACCCAGTGAATTCATTTTGTCAAAGTCAATACTGTCGTCATCATTTTTATCTGATGGAGAATCATTAGGGTTTAATTGATTTTGTAGTCTATGTTGTTCGGATTCAGTCAATTCTGCATCAATAGTAGTCAATGTGATATTTCCTAACGATGATATAAAGAGTACAGGATTAAAAGGGTATGTTTCTTTCAAATCCCTCAATTCTTCTATGTTTTGTTCTGTTAAAGGATTTTCACCAAGAGCATATAGAAATATTGGTAAAATAGGTAATAGTCCCTTGGCAAGTATTTTCACTGCTCCATTATTTGGTGCAATAAATATTTGAACACCATCTTTTAGTATAGGTTGATCAAGCTTAACCTCAAGTACTGTTGGACAATTAATATCTTCACCACCTGATCTTGTTAAATCTTCAACAGGAAGAGTACTCCATGGTTTTTCATTAGCTTGTAAGTCTCCAACTACTTCGTATTCTAAGCCTAAAGTAAGACTGATGTGATTTGTTTGCCCATAAGTAAGCTTAATCCACCGCCAAGGTCCATTAGATACTGGTAACACATCATTAGAAATCAAGCTATTGACCAATGTTGCTTTTGATTTACTATCTTGTCCAAAAATAACAATGGCAGGAGAATTTGCTAAAATATGGGTGATTCTATCTAATGTCAGAGGAGGCAACAGTTGCTCAACAACATTCTCTGTAATAAAATAAATATTTTTAGCTCTAGATTATTTCTTAAAGTACTTAGATCAGAAAATTGTAGATATTTACCTCCAGGAAAAATATTTTCGACATTGATAGCTTGTAGTGCTCTTTGGGTTTCATCCAAAATATGTTGCAATTGGTTTCGATTACGATGGTACCTTCGAAACTCTTGTGGTAATTTACTTGCCATTTTGTCAGTTTTGTTTTAAAAACTTAATTGCTATAAAATGTTCATAACCTAATAAAAATATTTCACTTTTAAACATGTATTGAAAGTGAATCTGCCGAACTAAGAAATAAAGCTATTGAAACAACTATATCATTAATAAATTTATGAATACTCCAAAAAAGAGTAAACATTAAAATACTGCTATGTAGCAACTCTGTTACTAACCAATAAATAATTTAAAATATAAATAGTTTAAGTGAAGGTGTTGTTTAACGATTAATCTCTTCCTTAATTGAAGACATAACGATGTCTTTTAATCACCCAATTAATAAATCTTGTTGATTTTCCATTAAGAACAATGTAAATGTACACAGCAAATACGCATATCAACAATCGTTCACCATACGATTCTCCTCATCAACGTACTCGTACAAAGTCAAATATGAATTCAGACTGTTGACAGTTAAACGGGCACTGCTACAAGTAACTATTTATTTAAAAACGACAAATTCCACGCAAATTGTACGCGTACGCTTGACACATGGTGGAAACTAAGCGCGGTTATTTTAACTAGCACAGAAGGTGTTTATTGCAACAGCATTTGCACACTGCTGCGGACTGTGGTTTAAAAAAAGAAAACTTAATTGCCTGATAAACCGTAACGCACCATTTAGTTAAGACGATACACTACTTCAGAACTTTGCATGTGTATCTTTGCTCTATGCGATTAAGGGAATGCATACGAAGAATACAGAATAAACAAGATTCCCCCTACTTGGGAAGATAAAATTGTAAGATACATGTGCATACAAAGCGAACAATTAATGGTTGTAACGAATTACATTATGTGACAATTTATATCGCAGTTCACTTAAAAGTAATTTATTACGAATGTAGTACAAAAAATAATAATCTATTCTTCGAGCAAACAAATAACTACAGTTGTTGCGTCATCTGTACTTCAAATTTTCCCACACATAATTACGAAAATATTAAACATTGTGTATAGGATGTATTTCAGTGTAATAATAAATATTAGAATATTTATTAATCTATCAATTAATAGATCGTACGTTGAGCATCATTCATCAATTATTTCAAAAGCAAATGCTATTGAACGTTGCCATGGATATGGATGAAGAAATACAAAGTACAAATCTTGGAAGATACAAGTCCTACATTTGCAATAGTTTATTTTACATCGATAATTGTATCATCGTTGATAGACTTTTCTAGAATACGTTATGGAAACTGCCTTAAATGTTTATCACCCTCTGCTTCCATTACTACAAATTTATAGATAAATGCTGCAGACATTTGACGCCGTATTACGTGGGATTAGCTACGAAAACAAGATATGGTGCGTAAAAGAAACACCTGTTACTTAAATTAAATTCATAAACATCACAGTTATAGTGATGACGAGGCGCTCCTAATCTCTAATAGTTATTATCGGTGATTTCACTATAAGAAAACTAGATAGAGTATAACGCAAATCTAGCATTCAATCAGGGTTCGGGAACAAACGATCAAGAACAATGACGAGAGCAGATCAACCAAAAATCAAATTTAAGGTTTTATACTATAATAAACTTGTCTTCTTTTTTAAACTTTCGAACTATCACAGCTTCCCGGTATTTTCGCATAAATGAATAGCCATCTAGCGGCAAATAAATCGAATTATTTTTCGGAGCACGATCATAGCGCCACTGTTGGGAAAACGTCCAAGTTTGTCCTCGAATAATTTCTTTTCTTCCTGGTAGATGGCGCCATATTACCAATTATTATGGGGAAGGTTTACCCATATTATATTTTAATGTAGACTAAATAAAAATTTTCATTGAATAACAATTTCTGGTATTTATTTTAAACGATCTCTCTTGCTTAATGGATTGACAGAAAGTGTGTTTAAATATTTGAAAGGCAAACAAAATTAAATTATGTTTCACAAAAGACAATCAAATAAATAACATCGAGTATCATCGAGTTAACACTGAACATGGATTTATTTAAACAAGAAGAACAAGATAAGATTAACAATTTGAATTCAAGGAGCTGGTTGGAAACACGTTTGAACTGAATGACGGTTGTTAAGGGAATGTTAAAAATAATTGCAACTAACGGAAAAATGAATTACGCGATAAAAGAAAACGTAATTAAAATCCGCTACATTCAAACGCAATAGCCAATTACAAACAATTATCTATGTGAAGTATGAAACATGTGTGAAGAACAATACATGTAAAAATCGATAAATTGTGTAACCCCACAATTATTGTGGCCGACACCTGATAATTCTGAAACTTCTTTGTTGACTCAGAAGAGGATCTCTTCTACTGTCTTATGTTTCGTTTATCTTTTTGAATTTCTTATTGATTTTGTTTAATTAATAAATTGCTTTCTGGGTGTTAAAACGTGTAATCATTAAAACTTCAATATTGAACCACTTATTTACTGAGCATTCATTTATTACAGTCTCAAGAGGTATATTATTTTGCCTTACCTGGTGAGCTACTAGATTATATTTTTTCCCAGAGTTAACATTCTCGGATATAGAGTGCGCTATAGAACAATTCGTTTTTTAGATAATCGGTAAAGAAGGGAAATGAGACAAATATTAACCTGTCTACCACCTATCTTCGAGTAACTAAGGAGCTTGGGTCCCTTAGTGCCGCCTCTGTCATGTTACTTTGTATCAGTGTTATATATTTCAAATTAATGAAAAAGGAAACGTTAGAATGTCTACATTGACAGTATAGTCAGCGTTGAAAGCAATGTTACGCGAATCGACCGAAATTTATTAAGTAAACTGAACGAAAACCGTTTCGAAACACAGAAGGCCGTTCCTTTCTGCGGGACAGTTCCATTTGGTTCCATTTTTCCTCCCTTTTTCGTTTTTGCTTTAGAAATAAAGTTTCGAAAAAGACCAGCACGATGTGATGATTCAATGAGGAAAATTTCAACCGAAATTGTTATGGTCTTAAACGAAAATCGAGCCAACAGAATTCTAATTACACGTTTCAATGTATTTGGTCAATATGCTGCGAATGCGTAGGTAAGGTTATCTATCATCCGACTCGTTCTTTCGAGAGCGAAATATAAACATTTCTATTTCAAGTCTGACGAAAGACTTAGGAGCTTTAATTTTTTTTCTTCTATTTTTTTGCGATATTGATTATCTTGTCTTTCGTGATGTTGAGTGAACATAATGAGGAGTAAAATGCCACCGTTTCGAAGGAAAAAGTCTGGAAAATCTTTTCCCGTTAAAGTCTGTACCTTGGATGCTGAACTAGAATTCAGTTTGGAGGTTAGTTTCGTTTACCTTTCCCAAATTACTACATCTACATAAAGATCTAATTTATCAACAGTGGAGATCAACGGGACGAGATTTGTTCGATTTGGTCTGCCGTACAATAGGATTGAGGGAAACATGGTATTTTGGACTTCAGTATGAGGACACTAAAGGATTCATATCCTGGTTGAAGTTGGACAAGAAAGGTATGTCATTGAATTTAAAAGTTTACAACATTATTTCTCGAATGCTTCTCTGTAAGTTGATTGTTTTTTAGTGCAAGATCAGTGTATTTCCCAACAACCAACAACACCTTTTATGTTCTTGGCAAAATTTTATCCGGAAGATGTTGCAGAAGAATTAGTTCAAGAAGTAACGCAACATTTGTTCTTCCTTCAAGTTAAACAAGCTATCCTTTCTATGGACATCTACTGTCCACCAGAGGCATCCGTACTGTTAGCTTCTTATGCTGTTCAGGCAAAGGTACCCCATTCTGCAATGTTTTCTTTTGTTATCAACTCTTGAAATCTACATTTTACCTCGTATATGATCTAGTATGGGGACTATGACGAAGTCTCCTACCGCCCAGGAATGCTCGCTAGCGAAGCTTTATTGCCCCAGAGAGTCATAGATCAATATCAGATGACATCTGAAATGTGGGAGGATAGGATAAAAATTTGGTATGCAGATCACCGTGGAATGTCTAGAGATGAAGCAGAGATGGAGTACCTTAAAATTGCACAGGATCTTGATATGTATGGTGTTAACTATTTTCCTATTAGTGTAAGTGTTTCAAACTACAACCAATTATCTAGATATATACAAATAGATCTATGGATCTCTGAAATATTCATTTAATACTTTCATTTGTTACATTGGACTACAGAACAAGAAAGAGACTGACCTTTGGCTTGGAGTTACAGCCCTTGGATTGAATATCTATGAGAAGGAGAACAAGTTGGCACCGAAAACTACATTCACGTGGTCAGAGATACGGCATATTAGTTTTGATGACAAGAAATTCGTGATAAAACCTGTGGAGAAGACATCGCCGAACTTCGTATTCTTCTCGCAGAAAGTTCGCATGAATAAACTGGTAAAAAAACAGTCAGATGTTGGCAGCTGGGTGAAGGGTTTGATAGCTTTAGGGTTGGACGAACATAGCAATGACAAAGCTGCTCACATATTATTTGTTAAGATCCTGGACCTGTGTATTGGGAACCATGATCTGTTTATGAGGAGACGCAAGCCTGACTCTATGGAGGTGCAACAGATGAAAGCACAGGCCAAAGAAGAGAAATCAAGGTAAGACTTTGGACATACATACATTGCAAAACGTCAGCTGAATATTAGATATTTTTATAAATTAAATTTCAATAACAAATGTTTATAAAAATACAATTATCCTAATAAACAGTTCTGTTCAAACCTAACAACTACACTCCCTTTTCCTCCATTTTGTTTCAAATTTTGTAGGGCCTGAAATCTAAGAATAATTAAATAAATCTTTACTCAGGTTAGTACACTTATTTACAGTTCATATAAATTATGGGAGAGATATTTCCAAATGTTAAAAAGGTTGTTGAATTTCTTTAAAAAAATGTAATTTATATAAGTATTATTATACATTAATTGGTTAATTGATAACATTACATAACTTCTTCTATGTAACGATTCCGTTTCGTTAGGAGACAAATCGAAAGAAACAAGTTGGCAAGAGAGAAACAGCTCAGAGAGACAGCAGAAAGAGAAAAAGCAGCCATGGAGCAACGACTTCTACAATATCAAGAAGAGATTCGTTTAGCCAATGAAGCACTCGTAAGATAACAATCAATATCAAATATGAAAACATTGCTTTTATATACATTAAAAAAAAAAAAATTGAAATTTGTTACAGAGAAGGTCAGAAGAGACTGCAGACCTCTTGGCTGAAAAGAGTCGCGTGGCAGAGGAAGAAGCAATGTTGTTGAGTCAAAAAGCTTCCGAGGCAGAACAGGAGATTACACGTATAAGATTGAATAACATGAAAACGGAGGAGGAGAAGGTTCACCTTGAACGCAAGACCAGAGAAGCTGAATTGCTGACTGAGAGATTGGTGCAAGAATCAGAGAGAAGAGCTGCCGAGGCTGAAAAATTGAAAGACGAATTGCTACGTGCACGCATAGCGGAGAAGGAAGCGAAAGAAAAGTTGTTAGAGTTCCTCAGCAGAAATGCTTACACCACCACTATAACTGTAAATATCCTGATTCCAGACTCCGCTAAGCATGCTTTGTACATGATATTTCTCAAACTATTTTGTTTATTATAGCCTGTACCAAATCTGTTTCCATCAACCCAAGTACTTCCGTCGGATTTGCAAGCCGATCTTCAGACGTTGCAACTAGATACAGAACCATTACCAACCGATTTAACCTCGTACGACTTGATTGCCGATGGAGATGTTGATCAGTTATCACTAGAAATTGAAAAGGAAAGAGTAGACTATTGGGAGAAGAGCAAACACCTGCAAGAACAGCTAAGAGAGTTGCGCACAGAAATCGAAGTGATGAAGGTTGGCGAAAAACAGTGCGAATTGGATCAATTGCATGAGGAACAAGTGCGACTTGGTGAGAACAAGTACAGTACATTGAAAAAAGTGAAGTCCGGATCTACCAAGGCTAGAGTTGCATTCTTCGAGGAGTTATAGTTGAAATATTGATTACATTGAGTGGATGCAACGAGAAACGAAATACCATGCAATAGGGGTATGGAAAGTATGAAACCTATGAATCGTGTAGACACGTGCGTATGTGTACATTGTAGAATACTGGAAACGTACGATTCATCTAAGCGCAGTGATGTATATCTTTGCTTTATCGTATCGTAACACTCAAATTTGCATACTAAGTCTCGAACAGCAGCGTAACTATGGGACTGTACGCAAACTTTATCATCCCGTGGATTTGTCATTATTTCAGTGAAATTTTTCTTTTTACTCGTCGTGGTGTTCTAGTCTGAGTCATAGAAACACTATAGAATTTTTGAATTTTATAAAACCCTCCAACCCTTCGCGGTCTCGATTTTCTGATTTCTATATATTTTTGTTCAGTCTCGCTCAACGCAAGACTGCTAAGAATTGAACGTATACTTGGTTTTTGTCTGTTTCGCGTGTCCACGCCAGTTCGCTGAGCCACCAACTATGAATCTTAAATGATTCCTTGGAACGAGTATTAGACTTCCACGCAGAGTACGTACGCAGAAATCAAAATTACAACTAGTATCGCTAGATGTTAATGGTTATGTAGAAATAAGCAATAATCAAGTGTCGATATTCTCCTAAAGTTTTGCAGAAACTGGTGTGATGTATGTAGATAAAGTTTAAGTAATAGAGTAAAGCAATGCTTTGCAACATAAAGTTTCTAATCTACAGAGTTAAAAATGTTACGCTACTTTTGAAGTACACGTGCATATCAGAGAATTCTATTTTCCTAAATATAAATGTTGTCTGTTCAACATTGAAGATCGCATGTATTTCTTAATGCTTTTGTAAGTTTTTATACGATTGAATAATTCGTCAATTATACTAGTAATAACTATAACGCATGCTTAGACACTACCGATGTCACAAATGTCAATACTCTCAAATATAAAATCATTTAATCTATGGTTACGATCTACGGTTAGATCATGTATTTTCTGCATCGGAAAATTAAGAAAGTAACCTACGAAGAAAGTATATTAAAGCTGCAGTCTAGTCAAACAATTTTTGAAAATAAACTGGCTGCTAATCAGCGTCTCTGTCTGAAATGACACAAGAAGCAATAAACGGTAGAGTTTACAAATTTTAATTGCCTTACTTGAATCACTATAAAAATGAAAAAAGCGCAGCTACTATGAAGTAGCAATGTGATATTTAAAATTTCTAAATAATGCGAGGAATTATCAATTGCAAATGATGTTTGAATTTTATGCATGGACTGCGAACAAAAGAATTACGATGATACGTCGACTGTATTTGTAAAAGTCTGATAATGTTTAAATACTATACATACTCATTCATGGTTCTTTGAATCCACTGTTATGTAATTTTTAACGTAAAGAAGACAAAATGCACTACGTAATTGCTCGTATAAAAATTTATACACATCGTAGCCACGTAATTTGATGATAATTTGTAAATAAAAATTGGACCAATGTACGAGTATGTACTCTAATATTGTTTTTTAAGAAATCTGTGTATAAATGCGAAACAAAACGTTATCGATTTTAATGCCATGAAATGTATAACATGCTACGATATAGTTAGTTTGATTAGACTAGAGCGATAGAACTTTTGCGCATTATGGCTTCTGTGAAGATGTTCCTATCAACTCGATAGAGAACTCAGTGTTTGAGACTTTTATTATAGGGCTTTCCAAGTACGATTATACAACGAACAAAGTTTATCGACTCCTTAAATGTTCTTGTTAGTTATAGTGTGAACAAATTAGATATTAAATGTGGGTATTGTAATCCTGTTACCTTGGAATGTCATTGTCCTTTTCCTCCTTTAATTCATAAAAAGATGAATGCTATATTATTTTCTGCTCTGAGAAAAAAACAAACACATCAAAAGATTTTTTGCAAATGTATGCCATAACTTTCTAGTAGCATAATCGGAAGTATCCCTAGATTTTCTAAACAAAAAGTTCTTTAAAAAAAATTCATTTACAATATTTTACGTCATTTGTAACATGTAAAATTGGTTTGAAAAATTTCTATTTGGAAAGCTCTATTTAAAAAAATGTTTAGTCTTACTCGTACGTCTCAGAGAGTGGCTTAGTAAGTTTACATAAACATTGCTCGAACACTGACTAATCATATAGAAATATGAATCATTAGTGTTTAGATGTTCTTTTATTTTATGAATCATTGTTTCTCCTAGATTTTAGAGAATATTGATAATATTCAGTATTGAATATATTATGTTACATAAGATTTTTGACCAAAAATCTGGTGCGAGTGTTCATTAAACTGATAACTGGACTTCTGGCGCCGTTGTCTGTGATTCGCCTAAGCGAGTGTATCATTGGATGCTAATCGAAAAGTGCTTGCAGCCATAATCAGTATTTTCTGTAATATAGAGGAATGTACCTGTAAACGCTATTCACAACTGCTTGTTCAATTAGAGTACTCGATTAATTCATGCCATGTTTTCTTTCCTGGGATCGTATAGACAAAAACAATATATCAATATTTTTATGATATCAACAACAGAGTCTTCTTTACCCTTCAAAACATCGTGTCCCGCTCAACTGAGGTCAATAAAAAAATCTTTTAAAGATTTTTAAAGAATAATCTCCTTTATTTACATTCATATTCGTATAACAAAATATATTCACATTGCTTAATCTAAATACAGACGTATCAAATCATCCTCCTTCGCGGGATAGTTCGTCACCGGACACCTCCCATTATTGCGTATCACAGGAAGAATGCACTGGTAGCAAAACGCATAACTATAACATGTAATGTTTAGTGTATTTATACTTATGTGTACCATTTGTTTTAATCAGTCAAGAAATACATACTATTCTTACAATATTTACTATGACGTGTACATACCCAGATACAGAAAGCACCGTATGTACCCTAAGTGTTCTGAGACAAATTGGACACACACCCTTATATTGCTTAGCAGTTTCTGGAATCTTGAAAAAATAACATACAATTAACAAAAGCACTATTTCACATACTTTAAATCATAACAAAGCATTGATAATTTTCTTACGGTTGGAGGTGGTGGGATAGGTAATGTTACTAAATTTGTGTAGAGATTTTCTTGAGTCCACCAGGACAAGAATTGAAGGAAAAATGCTCCGAATTCAAGAGAAGTAGTTACTGTTCGCTGCAGTATATCTATGCCATCATTAATGCCAAAGGAATTATTTTGTATCTTCTTTAATAGATCGGAAATGCTAATTATTGACTGTGGATCAGCATATGTTAAAGTAATAGATAACAGTCTCAATTGCAGCGACTGATACACTGATTTTCCAGCAACATAAAGCATATAATTATATAACATTGTAGATTCATATATCGCACAGCTTGTTATATATCCTTTAACAACACAATAGCGATATAACTTTTCCCATTTCTGCAAAGAAAAATTAGTTTTGAGTTGTGTTAAGCAACACTTGTCTTGGAGAAAGTCCTATCTGTTCATATTTACTGTTTGTGGTTCATAGCCATCTATTTCTTCAAGTTTGTAACGCTGACTCAACTCTGAAAACTTACTCTTTAAGTAAGGAAATAGAACAACCAATAATAGAGACAGCTTTTGTTGATTTTTCGATAAATTAGTTCCAACTTTGGAATTTGTTATTCCTACACGTTTTAATCCATAAAATGCCTCAGAAAAGGTAGCAGCTATAAAAATATGTCTTCATCTGTATCTATTCAATAATTTAATTTGTTCTATATGTAATAATCATATTTCATTACATAAATTAGTTCCTTACAATATTTCTTAAAATAGTATCGTTGAAGAAATATATTGAAAATCAAGTAGCCTTCGTCTGTCCATTTAAGAAGGTGTCCATACCTCTCAAAGTTGAATGATAAAATAAACTAAAACATTAGACGATTAATACTGCATGATAGTTAATTTATAAAAATTACATGTAAAGTCTAACCTACCGATATAATCTTTTTAAAAGCCGGTTCAACGGTCGAAGCAAATGATTCTTGCGCTACTATTTCGAAGATAGAAGGTTTTATGAGTGTAGTCCCAGTTAAATGTGCTCCCTTTTCAGCCATATTCAATTTTCTTTCCTAAACACCACTGTATATTCTTTAATTGTTTATAAAATGACCTATGACCCATGACAGTTTTATATGCATATTACATCAAACAAAAACAATATCTATCTGAATAGATTGGTAAAGTTTTTCCCATTAAAGTTAGTATTATTAAAAAAATTTTGAGTATATAGTACAAAATGAAAACTTTTTTATATAAGCAATTTATACGTTTCCATTCCTAATTGTTTTTAATAATCGGACAGTTGGTATAGTAGTGTGTTTTAGTACAGTAGCGCCATCGGTGAGAAAACGCCCAAGTTTGTAATAAAAATAATTCTGACTGTTTCTCTAAGATGGCGCCACCGATACTTTTCCATTAAATGTTCTTTATTTTTCGTAAATACATGATTGATACGATTCTTTGGTTTAAAATACTACGCTTAGTATGTCAAATTTATCATTTTCTGTTTTTTTTTTTCGACTTTTTTTCACATGACCGACTGAGAACAACAGTAGGAACTGTTTTTACAACGAACTTTGGCATTTCGCTACCGATGACACCACTGACACCGCTCAGCTATACTAATACTAATATTTTAGTATTTATTTAGTTTAGTATTAAATTATGATTAATCGTAAATAAAAATGATCCAAGTACGACCAGTTGATTAGAGGTGCCAGAAACATGATTTTAACCACTGAATTATAGTTCAGCCACTTGTTCTATACCGTTAGATAGCACCAGTGGTAGTACGATCGCGCTTTTTCATATGTCGTGTTTAATAAACAATATTGTGTTGTTAAATCTTTAAAAACAGATTTATTTTGTACGTGATGGATTATCATTAAACGACATATAATGGTACATACTCTTTTTCCAGCTGATTGAAACAGTTTTTTTTCCATACAGTTTGTGAACGCTTCATAACCTAACATGTGTCGTTCCGAGAAAATATTATCAAAGAAATGGAAACCAACAGTGAAATCTTAATGGTAATAAGTACATTAGATGAATAAAATACAGAAACTCTGTATGAAGTAAGAGAATCGATTATTAAAGAGATAAATGTTATAATTTCAGATAGCAAAGGAAAGGTATGACACATTGGAGTAACATCATTCAGAAATGAAAGTTTTTTAGTATAGTTGCGGATAGTTTTTTATGAGTTGCCTACCTGTATCATTATACTTACCATCATGTCGGGTAAAGGCAAACAAAGTTCCAAAAAAGCTATTGTCAAAATACGAGAGAGTGGGAAGACTATACAATCTTCGACTCTCACACCTGACACAAGCTCAGAGAATACAGAGACAACAATGTCTCTACCTATTTTAAAGATTGCAGATAATAATCGTCTCCTTCCAAGATATACTAGTATCTTGCAACGTAGCACAGAAGAAGGTGTAGGCATGGAAGACCTAGATACATTGCAGTTAGAATTAGAAATGCTTCTCTCATCAGTTGTTGTAAGACACAGAATGATTCAGGAAGAAGTAGCAAACTTATCTTCTGCAGAGGAGCGTAGGGACAGAAGATCCAAAAGTGGAAAAGGTCTTTCACTTCTTGACAAAAAAGTTAGAGAAGAGAAATTGAAACCGAAAGAACTTAATGCTAAAACCCAATCGCCTCTACCAGCAAAACTTTTTAAGCAAAAAGCTGTAATTGGTTTGAACTCTCAGGTCATTCCAAACGTACATGAAATTTCAAGAATAGAAGGCTCTAAATCTGAATCACCAAAGTTACTTTTACCAAAAAATGACACTCCTAACAAATTTTGGGCATCGGTTGATCCATATTGTACAGATATTATGCCTGATGATATTAAGTTGCTGGAAGAATTAATTGTCACTCACAGTGATATCAGCGAGTTCAAGAAAATTCCTCCTCTAGGTCGTCATTACAGCTTAATGTGGGCCCATAACGATTTGCTACAAGAAGAAGATGCAGCCAACCCAAATAGGGAGAAAAAAAGAAGTCGTTCTGACATGTCCTTGCTAGTTGGAAAAAATGATAAGAAAGCACACAGTATAGCAGGACCTCTTACACAGAGATTAGTTTCCGCTCTGTTAGAAGAAAACGTATACGTCGCGAGTAATAACACGGATAATAAACTTTTCAGGGATAGCGATCCCCCTGTATTAAGAGATCTCACTATTCAGAACTCCATTAATTTAGAATTAAGAATGCATAAAGAACTCGTAGAACAGGGAATCTTAGAGCCAGATGCACAGAAGAAGAGTCAGGAAGACGACGAAATTTTAATGGAGATTAAAAGATGCCAACAGGAACTCAGTGCGCTTTCCAATCACAATGTCACGCAATTGAAGAGATTGCTTAATTTGGCTCAAGAAGAAAGCAAGCGACAAGCACTGAAGAGGAAAATAACTGCGGCGGACAATGAAGTGATAGAACATTACAAGAAACTTATACTTTCAAAGCAAAGAAAGCTACCATTGACGAAGAAAGAACAAGAAAAGGCGTGGGCGTGTCTGCGAGAGAGAGAAAATCTCTTAGATCAACTAAATATGTTACCACGCGATAATGTAGGGGAATCGATAGGCTTTGGCACTACTATGAATTAGTTTTTTTTACTGTGCTGTACAATACGACGAAGTTATGTATAAACATTTAATATTATCGATTTAACTTTAAACCTAACAGTGTAATGTTCATTCAAAGCTTTATGATATACCATATTTTTTATGTTGGTAAAGACTAGAAAATTTAAAATTTACCAATTGTATCGATGGTTTTGACGTGTTTTGTTGAAAAGAGAATAATACAAAAAACAGTAGAAAATAATTAAACAGCAAAGTATGAATTAAAAAATCATCTGACGTTCAACTTTAAATTATGTTTACTGTATCGAGTTTCTGCATATATATTTAATATGCATAGTCTCTAATGTAGATTATTTAGATTAATTGTTATCTTGATTCTACAAATTATTACAGTTAAATTAACTTATCATAATAAACAAATGCATTTGACCTACGTTTACGTATTATCAACAATTCTTATTGGACCCGTATTTTGTATTCAATAAATATATAATTTAAGCATTATTTAAATTTTTATATTAAAATTCATATCCAAAAGCTAACATGCTCAAAAATAACTCTTTTATAAAATTGTCTGCTTCCCAATAAAGGATAACTGGAAAGGATCATTAAAAAAGATTATTCATAGAATCAAGAATATCTTCACGACAAAAGTGTTTATTCGATATCACTGTACAGTTTTTTTCGTCATGAGTTACCTCAACAACGTGCGCACACGGCGACACAACAATGATGAACCATTTGGGTAACAAAAATGTTCAAAGTGTACTACTTCCTGGATCGTTATTAACGTGATAGGTGCGTACATGGGTATGCAGGTGAGGCTGTCGTTTTTTAATAAACTTTCATTAATGTTCTTATTCATTCATTACACTGAATTATAACAATGTGAGTTATACGCTACATGAGACAGTAGACCATGAAATGATTACAAATGAATTGAATGGTTGAAGAGGTTAGGACAGTACGATTAGTGATTTAACACGTGTACAGCCACCATAATCCCATTCATTCTCGTACCATCGCATACCCCATCAAACCATATACTTGAGCATCTCTAACGATTTCATGGCATCCCGAGCACCAATGACAACTCCTGCTGTTCCCCTTAAGAGCCAGAAGATGCTGCCTTGGCAATGACGCACTAAAACTATCAGCAATTTTTCTTATGCAGTTTTTGGTGACTTAGAATGCGAACAAGAGCAGGAAAGCCATCATAAGGCAGAAGAGACCCATGGCCTCGGACAGGGCAAAGCCCAAGATGGCATATGAGAACAATTGTTGTTTCAAAGATGGATTCCTGGCATAACCGATGATCAAAGAACCAAACACAGATCCAATTCCAGCACCTGAAATCATTACACAACTTCTTTACTTTCTGCGTAAAATTGCGCGTAAATCAACTAAAACTCATTTTATAACATTACTGCGATTGGAAGGTGGTTTCAAAGGAACAGGACTAAGAGGCAAATAATATGAGGAATGCTATCAGCAAGCAGAAGAGTCCTGCTGCTTCTGATAATGCAAAACCAAGGATAGCATAGCTAAACACTTGCTGTTTCAGGGATGGGTTACGGGCATAACCAATTATCAGGGAGCCAAAAACTACACCAATACCAACCCCTGGAATAGTAATTTTAGTATGCAGGGCGTTTAAAAATTAAACACGATTCAAAATTGAGTAATACACACCTGATCCAGCAACACCAACGGTAGCTGCACCAGCACCAATGAACTTTGCAGCAGAGTCAATGTCTCGGCTGATCATGGAAGTTTGGAAATTACGCACGAACGGCGACTGTAGAAAATAATTATAAATAGGGAACTTCAGAATTAATGTTCTATTATATGTATACTCAAACTATGTCAAGATAAGTGTGACTTATATAATCTCTATAATTAGTTTTACATATTAACCCTTTGCATGTATGGATCAATCATTTGTAAAGGGTTAAATTGATACTTTGGTTCTTTCATTGCATCTACTGAATTTTCAATTCGATAAACAGGCCAATCAAAAAACATCTGTCAAATTATTCTTTACTTTAGTTTTCCATTCATCAACTTTCTAAGGTTTGCAAACTTTCAAAAACTCTCAAAAGAACAAAAATTATGGTATACATTTTAAATCAATCTCCTAACTTTATCTCAAGTTTTCTCTTGTAAAATGTTTCTGCTAATTCAAATTTCCAGTGACATAACTTTGCCACATTGTATAACCACTGATACAAATGATACAAATTTTACAAATCTATGACATAAGAATCAGTTATAGTTATTAATCTGGGTTTAATTCATCGATCTTTGAATCATCCCTTTGAAAGATTTTCCAGTTATGAGAATAAAATCTCTTATGTAACCCTTGGGAAAAAGGTTATGCAATGTATAAAAGCTAACGGATACTTACAACACTGACTGGCGATTGAAGTTGATTTTGCTGAAGGGACTGGCTGTGGCTGGCCACGGCACTGCTCAGCGGCCGGATGTAATTCTTGGTTCCAGAGACCAACTGAGAAAGAAATAGGTCAGGATGTTGAGTTATATAACGATGGATGCACGAGAGAAGAACTGGTTCGAACGGGGCAGGTTGGTACTCACGGTCGACCTGGCGAGGGGTGCGATGAATCTGGTGCAAGCGTACATGGTGACGTTTGGCGTTGTGTGTGGTCGCTAAGCAAGTACCTGCAAAATGACGACGACACTCGAGGATCAAAACTGTACCCTGAAGTTGCAACTAAAAGCGCGTGCTGACCCGGCAAACGACAGCGAACCACTGGCCAGATACTCGAACCGCAGGATTACGTAACGCGCCCTACTGAAATCGTTACACGAAATATGCGACAACTGCCACGGTTCCGATTTAACTAGGACGAATATAACGATTTTTCTCTTATCGAAGCAATAAAGAGATTACGAATCGCGGGCGACAAACGGGTGAGCAAGTCGCACTGTAAAATGGCTGCTACTCGTGTTCCTTCATCAACCGAACACGACTCCTAAGCTGCCTTCGTAGACGATTATATCACAAATATTCACCCAGCGATTGTTCCCATCGACATTTTAAACGAAAACAGCGTTATATGAACGATCGTCAAACGATTTAACGGATTCTATGCGATTTTATTTTGACTCCGAGCTAACAAGCAGCCAGACTTACCAGAGGACAGTGTCGAAGAGGCGGTAAGAAGACCCGGCCTTTGGAATGTTGAATTGGTAAGTGACTAGTGAACGAAGCACCCGACGAACAGCCTATCCCGACGAACGAAACGAACCGACTTCCGTGCGATGACCTATTCACCACTTCCACAACCCGACTATCACCGACTTCGCGTATCGACCAACCGAATTTAGCCGAACTGCGTTTCGTCTGCAGTAACTAATCAACTCATCTACTATCTTGTATTTTTAGAAACACACAGTGGATGTTATCGCTAATTATTTTATCGGAAATATTCGTCTCTCTTTAGTTCCTATCATTTCTTCCGTGATTTGCCTGGTAAACGATTCTCTTTTATCGAACTATACGAGGAATACGGACTCTTGCTTGACTTCTTCTCGTTGCTGGTGATTTACTCCAGACTACACTTTGGTACAATTTGTAAATTTTCATTGTAAATTTTCTTTAACGCATTTTATGTCAAAAACTAGAATGAAATTGAAATAATAGTAATCGAAATTATAGACGAATTTAAGTTGCTAATCTACTATTTTGTACTCGTTTTATAAACGGAAGTCATGGTTGAATCGCTATTAATCCATATTATTACTTTTATTTCAGCAACTATCGGTCCCGCAGAACCTCTTTTCTTTCAGTTTAATTTAGAAATTAGGTATTTTCCTAGCAGCTTCTAATATAATTTGGAAATTGCTTCTTCTAATACCACATTTCAAATATTGCCGCGGTTTGCGCCCACTACATAATTTTGTCATAACACGCCCCTGTTCTTCACCACGCATGTCTAGAAATTTAAGCAAAGTTGGTCATATTGATCCGTAATATAAATACTATTCAAAGAGAGAAAACTAACATTTTTATATATGGAAATGTTAAATATAAAATACTAAAAACTTGCTCCGATAATATTATATTTGAGATTTCACTTGCAACAATTTTTACAAAGGGTGACTACCTTACAAGCTCAGTTTTAAATAAAATTTATTTGCGTCGCTTACATTTAATATATTATAATCTTTCACACGATTCACATGTCATTTATTACTATTGCGCTTATGTTGTAAATACTGTAAATCACTTTCGCGTTCAAGTATCAAGCTAGCATTGTGCGTTTGGAAAAATCTTTTCCCGTGTTCGAATGTTGCTATCATGATGGCGCAAGCTGGTGCCACCTTCACTACACGCGGAATTAATCCTGTGAACAATCCCTTTATTCCGTTTTGATTGTAAATTTTTCGTATTATAGTCCAAGTTCCGCTACTATGTCCAGGTTTATCTGCAAATGATTTTATTAAAACCAGATACTTTAAGTTAATATATATAACTTATCCCAGAGTATTAATTTTTAATATTACAGTAAATAATACCTGAATAAATTTCTTTCTCACCCATTTCTATTTGTCTATGCGTTTTTACAACATCAAAGGGAATTGTAAAAAATGCAGCCATCTAAAATTGACAAAGTTAATTGTAATATCGCTTCTGAAACATTGAAACCCATAGCAATTCAAAATACTTACAGATCCGGCTATAGCACCTGCTGCAAAATTAAAAGTAAAAGTTTCTTGCGGTCCACGGAATTTTTGCTTAATAGTTTCATAATTTAACCAGTAAATTGCGCTAAAAGGTACGTCGCGTAGAAGAGTGCTACTCAGTCCCATCCATAACCCAAAAATACCATTGTATTTTATAACAGTTTTTAATGCTTGTGTAATTTCTGCAAGAAAGAAACTTTCATAATAGTGTAAACTTATACAATTTAATTCTAGAGTATGAGATAGAATGATATAGATAGAAATACCTGCATAACTTAATTTTTGTGACTGCATTTTTGTTCTAATTAATTCTAACGGGCTCACTAAGGTTGCAGCCCAAATACGTGCTATAGCTCCAGCCATCATGGGAATCCAGAATGGTTGTTCCATAGCGGCTATATTAAGCCTTTCATTATTTAATGGTTTATTATATTTATCCTGCAAAAACATAAGTAACATTAAAAGCTCATGGTGCAAATGAAAGTTAAGAGAAATTTTATCAACCTTAAAATATAATCTTAATTGTTCATACGAAACAAAATACACTATGGTTGCAGGTACTGCTAGGACAAGAGTGGGACTTAGACCACTCCATAAAGAAAGAATTCCTTCATTTTTACTAATTTTCATAAGGGCATCCTAAAACAGGAAAATAAATAACAACATTTTTAGACATAAATTGTTATTGATAATACTAAACCAAACAATATTAATAGATATAAATGTACCACTGTGCCATTAAAGTGTCCATTTCCTCTAGCCCAAGGTGGGCCTTTTCCATTCAAACAGGGACACAAATGATCCATCAAACCGTTACAATAAAGAAAACACCTGTTAGAAAGCATAGCTTTCTGTTGTGCTTGAAGTCTAATTTTTACCACATCCAAAGGGGTAACTATGAAAGATCATAAAAATATTTTTATTACACCCATATTGTGATTATATAACTGGCTTATCACTAGTTTAATTACATTACATATATCAGGCACTAATTTACATACCGATAATAGATGTGATGAAAGCACCAGTACATGCAGCCATAATTTGTTGATACGGTTTGATCCTAAATTTTGGATCATCTAAATCTAGATCCGGTGGTATGTTGCTCACCTTATTCATGTTCGATTTTTATTCGGTTTCACGCTATGTCAATGAAAAATTATTCCCTTCGCGATCAATGGCACACTTCCTTATCGACAAAATCATTTCCGAGGGCTAAACACGTGTGCGTGCTAACATGATAAAATTCATCAATTTTCTATATTTTAAACCGACTGATGATCTATTAAAGTTAAAAATAATGACATGACATTCGGCAACGTGTATTCGGTCAAAATTTACATTTGAATCGAAAATATTCAAGGAATTAAAACGATCGGTACCGACGTTACGATTGTAAGATAACAAATGCGGAAATAATTCGTTAGTTTTTAATTACTTACCTTTGTCGTGTCCCATTTCACCAGACACGTTGTTCCAAATCACAAATCATTCAGTTTCATCATAAATCCACAATCTTGCATGGGAAAAATACAAATAATAATCACCGTGTCGGGTATTTGTAAACCGGCCTCTAGCAAATGGAAAACGATAGGAAAATAACATCACACTACGTATCTGTATTTCTATGATTAGAAAGTGTATGGCAATTGTTAACGTGTTTCAGTCTCGTACCACCAGAGGGACGCAAACGTCAAACGATATGGCTGATTCTCACAAGTTATTTCTTTTGACATTATCAAATTTATTCAAATGTATACAAGGTGTCCCAAAAATGTTGTAACACCTTGAAATGGGTGGTTCGGGAGGTGATTTGAAACAACTTTTTCCTTAGTGAAAATGCTTTCTGAGGCTTCGTTGAAGAGTTATTAACGGAAAACACTGATCAATCAGAGCGCGAGTATGCCGATGGAGTGCTCGCGGTAGCGTATGAGCGCGGCCGCCTAGCGCGGAGCTTACGCTCAACGCGCTCTGATTGGTCGGGGTTTTCGCTTAATATCTCCTTAACAAAACCTCGGATAACATTTTCGCTAAGGAAAAAGTTGTTTCAAATCACCTCCTGAACCACCCCTTTCAAGGTGTTACAACATTTTTGGAACACCCTGTATAACGAAAAGCTACTAGCCCTCCACTTTTTTCATGTTATAGGGAAATTATATGATCTCGTCATCAAAATCTCATTGTCAGCGAAATAGGCTCCAAAAAGGCGGATAATTCAAACAAGAAGAAAGCGTTTCGTACCAAACGATAACAATTTCAGTACACATTTAGTATACAACATAGGATTAGAAACAAAGCTTAATTACATTTTCTGATTCCGTGATTCAAATCTAAGATACACGAAATTTATGATCGATCTGCGCTTGCGTGTGGCAAACGAGCATTGCGCATGTGTAATTTATCAGTTGGAGGGGCGTAGAAAGGAGGCCATATTGTACAGTTAAATTGAAAGAACGAAAATAATTATATCATCGTGTGTCATCGTGTCTGTTTCGTTTTATATTTTCACCGTGTACGTTCCGTGACGGTGTCGTTCGGTCGTTCCGTGTAAAGCAACAGTACACGGGGCCCGAATCGTGGATCCTGCGTTCTTGTAAATAACTATAAACCGTAGTAGTGTATCTCGATATCTAGGTACCGTCCGTTAGTCTACCAAAGGGGTTTATTGCTCCAGACGAGATGGGCACTCGGGATGACGAATACGATTATTTATTTAAAGGTAAATTCTGTCGATTCGTTGATGCTTGTTTGCGTTTCTTCGGGAAAATTTCGTGGTAACTGTGAACATTTTTCCACCACACGTACGCGCTCATGCATATACACGCAATTCGCAACTATGGACGTGCACGGGTACGTGTGTACGTGCTTGCTGCTATCGTTTGCTTGCGTAGTGCGCCCGTATGATTTTAACTTGTCATATATATACATACATATACACATTAAATATATGCACGTATACGTGTATACGTTTGTGTACATGTATGCATCGCTCTAAAATCAACAATTGTCATCGTTCAATAACACGAGGACTGAATTAACGTCAAGTTCAAATCACAACCGCTGAAATGATTGATAGAGTCAGTGTTAGGGCATCCAGTCATTAAACGATGACATCAGAGACTATCTTTCATATGTGAAAACTCGTAGACGGATTTTCCTGTCGATTGACAGCGCTTGAAAATAATATGTCACTCTTAATATTTTTCTGACACTTCTATAACTTCTGCAATAGCTACTTAGACATTAAACGTGGGATTTTTAAATAATGCTCGTCGTGGCTCTTTGAAACCATTTAAGCATAAAGTTTCTTGACATTTTTCTTTACTGTTAGTTATAGTTACACAAAATTTATAAATGAGACTATTTTGTTTGCGAATGTCTAAGATCCAGAAAATTTACAAATTTTACATTGTCTGTACATGTTTTTATTTCAGTTGTTCTTATTGGTGATTCCGGAGTAGGAAAAAGTAATCTGTTGTCAAGATTTACGAGAAATGAATTCAACTTGGAATCGAAATCAACTATAGGAGTTGAGTTTGCAACACGTAGTATACAAGTAGATGGAAAGACTATCAAAGCCCAAATTTGGGATACAGCTGGACAGGAACGTTATCGTGCTATTACATCCGCGTAAGCTGAAGTTACTGACAAAAACATGAGAAATTTTGTATAAAAACATAGTAGAATACATGTGTAACTTTGTCTAAATCATTAGATACTATCGTGGTGCAGTTGGTGCACTGTTGGTGTACGATATTGCAAAACACTTAACATATGAAAATGTGGAGAGATGGTTGCGAGAGCTACGGGACCATGCAGATCAAAACATTGTGATTATGTTGGTTGGAAACAAGTCGGATTTGAGGCATCTACGTGCAGTTCCAACCGATGAAGCGAAAGCATTTGCAGAAAGAAATGGCCTCTCCTTCATCGAAACTTCTGCTTTAGATTCCACCAATGTTGAGACAGCATTTCAAAATATACTAACAGGTAAAACGAAGCTCGAATTTTCACATGGTTATTATATTATGATTATAGGTACTTCAACACGATATAATTCTTCTATGATACAGGATCGATAGGTTTTATATTTTCAAAGAGAATCTGACACAAATTTGAATATTTCAGAAATCTACAGAATCGTATCGCAGAAACAGATACGTGATCCACCTGAAGGTGATACAATCCGGCCACAGAACGTAGAACCAATCGACGTTAAGCCAACAATGAATTCAGACGGGATGCGTAAGCAGTGCTGCCAGTGACTCACCTTGCTGCTTAAAATGTGTGTACACACAAATACAGTATCAATATCACGAGGGTACCACTCGAGTAATACCAAGTTTCTAAGAGAAAATTTAGTCTATGGTCCAGTAAAACGCGAAGAGAAAAGAAAAGAAAAAAAAATGAAAGTTTCTGGGATAATTCTTTGTACGATAGCATAGTTTTAATATAAGAAAACTATGATTAGTTAATTATAACTATTAAGTTGATTTGTAAATTGAGTTAATTTTAACATACATCAAAATTAAATATTACTAAAGACACTTTTATTATGTATTTTTTCTTCCAATGATTGTGACTAATTGTCTAGTTGTGTATATTTTACACAATTCGGTATTCAAGCTTTTGCACAGTAAGAAGCGTGAAGTATTTTTCGTTACATCGTACAGAGTTATTAATTCGAACAAAATAGACTGAATACTCTACAGAATATACACGTAACTAAAGTATATGTTTTATGGGAGCAATTGAAATACTACTTCCATAAATGGCAATAGATCTTACTCGTATTTTAATAGATCAAGATAATTTATCTCCTATGTTCAAAGAACGAGTTATACTTCTCTGTTGAATCGTTACTTTAATTGTTACACTTATTAGTACCAGATCACTGAATTATATGAATTCTATTTTAGCTATGCATTTGTTTAAAACTTTTTGTAATTCACGCCGTTCATTTGCACAATATTGTTTTTTAAATTTTGTATTACTTTTAAACTTTGTAGGATAATTTAAATGTATACATGTATGTAACGCATTAGCGTGATCGTTAAAGAAATTAAATGTTAAGAAATATTTATGAACTGATAGTTTTAAACTTCAACAACTTGGAAATGCTGACTGCTTTTACCCAAACGTGAGAAACTTCTCTGTAAAATAGCTTACATTTCTTTTTTTACATATAAAGAATGCTAAGAGATTACCACACATTACTTTAGACAAGTAGTAGTGTATAACTTTCAGCTGAATAAATATTGGTTTTCATTGGTTTCGAATTCTTCTAAATCAACAATTTTATGCGAATTTTAAACCACAATCGAAAAGGTTTTTAATAGATATAAATAAGATTAATCAAAATAAGAATTTCGTTCCATGTTAAAAGTTTTGATTATGCAGTTTCTTTTTATTTAACACGTTTCCTAATCAATTTCGCTTACTCTTTTCCGACATCGCTTTAAGATTTGTTTTAAAACTTGAGAAGAACGCATGCTTTGATTTTTTATTAACGTTAAACTATATGGTTTATACTTGTTTTTTGGTTTAGTTAATGTTGACTGCGTTAAATGTGCAGTATTTAATGTTAAACATAATATGTATCATTTTGAACAATCCTCTTCCTTAAATTTTGTAACCCTACTTCTGTGGTTATATGTTTCTAAGATATACAGTCTATACACTGTCTGGTGTAATGTAATAACTATTAATAACCATGATTGCATTCCGTTTTGTTTTTGCAGAAGGACATATAAAGAGGCAAAGGAGAAAAGAAAAGTGGTCGTCGGTAAACGTAACAGGTGCATACAGTACAAGAGTCAAGACTATTTACGATTATAAGTATACACGACTAACTTTCCCAAATAATCCGTGCTCAGGACCTAGCAGGTCTCTCTACTCTACTTGGATGAGGATTGTAGATAAGTGCGCCACTGCAAGCCGTACTTAAGAGTATTCTTTTACATCTTCATTCACGGTCGCTTGGCTTCGACAAAGCAAACCAACCCCTTTCCTTCTACAAAGACAAGTGGATTTGTTCCATTCACTTCTAAGCAGGCCACTTACTAAGCATGCGAGGGAAAGACACTTCTTAAGTTCCTTCGGATTATTTGGGAAATATCTACTCTAATCTCCATGCTAGACAAACGATGAGGATCAGAGGTATCTAGCAACATGTTCACACATAGCAGACAACCGTACGAATAAACACAATAAGATTGTGCAACACAGAGACATCATCAGAGACACTTATAAGGAATGGAATACGTACGCACTATTCAGCCCTTGAAATTTCATCCCCATCCATCTCTGCCCTTCTTATCCCCTGCTCTGTATCTTTATCTCCGATACATTACAATAAATCAGTGTTGTATTACTGCTTCTTTGTAATACATGTGCAATTCTACTCAATGCGTAGTGAGCGATCGTGAATACGGTTTATAACATTATATGGTAAGGTGCTGTCGAAACGTTCAACCAAACCTTGGGAAGCATAACTTGCGAATTGTGAGAACAAAAATAGCTAGATATATGAATGTAGATTTACGAATACTTCTCGGTTACAGTTGTTCGAAGTAGGTTCCTCGAGTGTTTCAGTACAACGATTCTATACGTGTGATTAGGGTATCCCTAATCGAAAAATTCAGAGTTGAAAAGCTGAATGCTCCACTCAAGAAATGTGTCAGTGGAAAGGTAGAGATCAATGATCTATGTTCGTAGTCTTCTACTTGCAACAAGTAGCAGGGGATGCTCTCAAAGTTTGACTGCACATTTCTGAGAAAGCCTATATATTATAACACTTAAAACTCTTGCGATTAAGTATACAGATGCACGGCAATAGTGGAAATAAAGAGAACAATAGAAGAAGCTTACGAATTGAACATACAAGTAAGACAGGCAATGGCGAAACAGTCTGAATCAAGATAAAACACTTTATTGTTGCTCACTCTCTGCTTTCGAATTTTGCACCTAGTGACATTGACCTTTCGAGTGTGATAAGGAGCTTGACCCTCCCCCCCCCCCCCACATTGAACGCTTACTAAGGTACTTTTACTTTTCTTCCCAAAAATGAAAACATAAGAGAAAAACCGAGGCGAACAAGAAAAAAGTTGTTGCAACACACAGATCCTAAGGGTAATTAACTGTGCGTAAAGTGATATGAAAGTACGCGTGAACGAAATTATATTGACGTAGATACGTTTTTAGTGTCTAATAAGTATTTGCTTCGATGTGTGTGTAGCTGCAATGTAATCTGTTATCGTTACGAGTCCTCGTTGTATCTTGATGAATAAATAGAGAGTGAGTAAAACGTTGAAATATTGAAATGTTTGAAAAGTAAGTCTTCTTAGGGTTGACTCTACATAGGGGGAACATACTATGAGTGAATCTTCACAATGAATTCTATTGAATTTTGTAATGATTATCTTTAAGTTACCGAATAAAGAAACAAGTATTTCATTTCCAGATATTAACGAAGAATTAAAATGAAACGGTAAATTTCAAATATCCACAGGGGTGACCAATTAGGCCTTCATTTCCGGTGTGTGTTCCCTCATTGAGACGGTGAGCTTTGACATGCGAATTTTTTCAGACGTTATGATCATACTTTGTGTCAACGCAGTGCGTGCGATAAAGTAATGTCCAGAAAAAGGCATACCTCCCATTCAGGTAAATCCTTTCTTTCTCCCTCCCCTCCCCTACATTTTATATCCTTAGGTTTACAAGAGATGATCTTTACAAGACCTCAAGGTGTGAATTTCCGTTTACGCCGAGCAGGAATGAATTTGTACGAATGGAGTTTAAAGGATAAATTACATCACCGTTATAAGATCAGTTTATTCTTCGTTGATTAAATATGAGAACGGGATGCTAATCCTGCGAAGAACGTGGGCTTTTATTAATCAATGCTTTGTACTTTATAATTTTATTAATAAAATCACTTTTGCTTTGAACACATGTACACGTATAATGAACCAATAAATTTTTAGGTAGTCAACGGTGCTTCAAAAGGTACTTTTTGTTTTCCTATTCCGAGGAAAGTACTTTATCTCATTCATTCGTTATCAATATTAATTATTTTAATCTCATAAAACACAATCATTCGACGTAGTACTTATTAATAAATTATATAATTATTTACAGATTTGTTGCATATCTAAATTATTGTATGATTAATTACTAACTAATTACAATTACTCTTATATTATTTGTTCTAGGCTAAAAAAAAATAATATGTACAGTACACGGAAGACTTTTTTTTTTAGCGAAACGGAGAGAATGTTTGAAATGGCAAATCTCATTATTTGGTAATGCTCCTAAGAAGTCATGGGCGCAGAAGCGGGTTCAAGGCGTATAGTGTTCCTCTGGCCACCGCCATGGTTCTTTTGCCTCCACTCAAGCCATCTTAATAATTCTGGACTTTGCGATGTATCGTTAACATCCGTTCTGGCCTCTAATTGTTGATAATATGCTTCGCGCAATAATCTAAACGTTTGGACGTTTTTGTATGGTAGCTGAGTCATGGGATCCAGATATTTTGCTGGGAGCCTAAGATTGTTTTTTATATTAAAAATTAATATCTTTCTGGAGAAATACATACGTACTAGATAAACTTATAGTTTACCTTGTAATTGCACATAAAGCTTTCATTGATGGTCTCTTAGTTGCAGACTTCTTGAAAGCTTCAGAAAACAGTTGTTCATTTTCAAAAGTTATAAAGGTTCTCTCATAGAATCCTTTTGTCTCATCACAACGATACTTGTTTTTGTTTAAAACGCAAGATGTAGGAGAAGAATTAAGCTCTTTTCTTGTACCATCGTTTGTATCATCCTCTGATTTTATAACAACATTGCTGGAAACAATAAAGTCAAAGTTAAAATTATCATTCTACAATATAATAGACAAAAATTGTACTTTACCTATCTCCTGTCGTTTCTTCCTTGTTTTCAGAACTTCCATTCAAATTCTTCTCTTCTTCATCTTCTATGCTAATTTTGTCGTCTTTGTCTACCTGCACTTCAGAGAGTACAATAACAGGCATTGCTAATGACTGATACCTAATTATAGGTCCACTGTGAGCTTTCCTTACTGTTCTGGTGTTCTTTTTTTCATTTTCTAACTTTTGATACTTTTCTGTAATGTAAACAGTAGAGGTGAATGAAAATGAGGAAAAGATAGAATTTCCTTGTAAGGGGAAAGGATGAGATTCTTCTTGTTTCAATTTACCCAATGATTTCATATTGATTTGTTCAGTTTGCAGGGCTTCCTCCAATAATTCTTCCTGAGTTGGTTTCCATGTATCATGCTTTATAACTCTTGTTTTCCTCTTTTGATCTTCGTTCCTTTCTCTCAATCTCCTTTGTGTTGCAGCGGACTTTGCAGCAGTAGAGCGACGTATTGATTTCCTTTCTGTAAATACTCACAATTCAACATCTATTCTTATGGCAAAGCATTCATGCAAAGATATTTACCTGTACTTTCTACAAAACTTCTGCTATGCTTTGGCTGTCTAACTTTCTTTTCCTTTTGTGGTACCTGAGACTGAACTTTAGGTTCTTTGTAAGCTTTTGTTACCAATCTACGTTTCTTCTTAGGTCCTTCTTGTTCAGTGTCTGAAATAGGCTCATCATTTTCATCTATACTAAAATCCGAATCAACTTCATCTTCTCCTTCATCCTCTTCCCTGTGATCACACAAGCAACATTATTTTCATTAAAGATTTCAATTAATGAAAGATATTCAAAAACATTCTATATTAAAGTAAAATATTAACATGTAATCAAGGTCTTGTTCTGCTTCATCGAAGCCACCATAAGTAGTTTTATAGAAATCATCCTCCTCCTCCTCGTTCAACAGCTTTGCCATTTTATTTCCAGCATTTGTACGCCTTTCTCTAGCTAATGCCATTTTTGTAATTGTATATATTCTTCGTTAGCAAAATTATGTTTGTCAATACTGTTTTCCACTTTTATTATTATTAGATAGAAATAGATTAAGTGTCGTTAACTTATTATATACTGTTAGAAACACTGCAAATTTGCTTTTTTAAGTATTTTTTAATCTCTTTATTTTACATGTTTACACACTGCATATACAAACCGATAACCATTGATAACAACATGCAAATTTATAGGTTAGGAATAGTCGATTCTAAATCGATTTTTAACAGAATCCTCCATTTTGAAACAATTATCGATTCTCACATTTTCATCTCCGACAATCGATTCCTTCGAGAATCAACTCTCGATTCTTTCAGCTACTTTTGAAATTTATATTTTGCAATAAAAGCAAGTAATTTTGCTTGAGCTAGATTTTTGTTATTGCATGCTTCTAATGGCAAATCTAAGAAAGCCTGAAGGCTCCTTCGAGTAGCCGAAGGCTTATTTAGAAATATTTGGAAGGGGATTTTCTACATTCACATGATTAGTATTAAAATTGTACCATAGACGCGGAGAGATAATTACATTAATTACTATAATAAAATAAGTTCATTCACGTTGACAGTGTATCGCTTTTGATAACCAAAGAGACGAAAGTCAATTTTTACCAAAGAAGAAAACAAATGTTATATTATTTTTTTGATAATTATATATTTTGATGCGAGATACATGTATGAACTTATTGACTCACGATAATAGACAGTACACAGTTGCAGCATAAGATAAGAGAAATTCTCTGCACGTTATCGCTATATATCGCATACTTAATTCTTGTTTACATACTGCGACTTCACCCAAAAAACTCTACATTTAATTATAGATAACAGAAAAATGATATGTTATATAATTTTTAAATAATGAAACTTTTAATAAAAAAACAATCAATAAATACATTTTCATACTTATGCATAAAAGATACATATTCATAAAATTTATGTTTACTTAAATAAAGAAATTTCCAGAAATCGGATACACTACAATAAGTATTAACTATAAATACAACTTTTCAAAACCTCAAGGTATAGTAGTTTTTCCATCAATTTTGTATAATACACATAACATAACATAGCGCGCTACATACAAAGTTTTCGTATTTTTAGGTGAATTGTTACAACAACGATGCAATAAGAAAAATAAGAATGTTCATGTATGTGGCGAGAATAAATTAATTAGCCAGATAACATTGAGGAGTATTTTTGAATGTAGATTAACGGACGTTGCTCTGACACATGTTTACCAGTGCTATCGGTATATATATTGAGTAAAATTTCTGCATCCAGCAATTCATCTCCAGTTTGCCACGCGAGCAGAAGTTCTTGACATAACCTCAGTAAACAACGCATTATCTACCACTTTCAACAAGATGAACAAGACGGTGTTCAACCAAACCATCGACGATATCCTGGAGAAGAACTTGCCAGAGAAGGAACTGGCAGAAGTAAAACGCCTATTATACGGCCGTGAATTACAGTAAGATTTATTATATTTTTTTTATCTAATCATCTTTTCTTACGTTTTTTCATCTATTCGTATACCTTGATATACCTACTCTGCAACATTTCATTCCTGACACCTGTTGCAAGCAGTTGCAAGTGTGTCAGCCTATTTGTATTTAACAGTGTAGCCGCTTCAAGCTTTTCCAATTTTTTGTCTGGTGACCATTGCCTAAAATCATATATTCTCTGAATTTTTAAAAAATATTCTTCTCTTCTGCATGCAAATATACCATTTTTTACTTAACACTTAAAGGATGGGTATGGTACGTGAATTTATGTGGCCCATCTTAGGAAGTCACAATGGAAAAATATAAATTTACATGGTCCATCTATTAAGTGTTAATAAATTTTGTCATATCTTGTTAAATGTACATTATAACTCCAGAGAATTGGAGCTTCCACAATGGACAGGAAATGTGGACCTTGATGTCAAGGGATATGTTATGGGTGGTGTGGTTCAAGAACAGTTAAGACCTTCTAGAATTGTCAGAGTTGGAGTGATTCAGCACACTGTAGTGTTACCAACAACTGAACCATTGCAGAAGCAGAGAGATGCTATTCATCAGAAAATCCAGAAATATGTTAGCCATGCAGCAGCCTGTGGTGTTAATGTACTTTGTCTTCAAGAAGCTTGGGGTATGTAATAATACACAAATTTTCATGGATATACTTGAACCTGAAGCTTCATTTCAAGATAAAATTATTAAGAATATTAAAAGCTATTAAACTCAGGAGCACATGTCTAGATAACGTTTCCATGTTGGAACTATGTATATTTACATTCTCATGCATACATTGTTTATACATTAATCTGAGACTCGTGTAACTAAATTAGATAAGACTGTTTTATATCTTAACTAACTTGAAGTGAAGTAAAAAAATTGAAGATGATAACATTGTTTATCAAAAATGATAATTTTATTTACTTAAACTGAGCATATTTATTCTTAGATATCAAATGTAAATGAACTTTTTATTAACCTCTGGCATGTTTATCACGGGAAAAGTTTATTTAAAAGTTTTGTTATCATTTTAATATTGGAAATTGAAGTATTATAATTAAGTAGTTCGTTGGCTTTGTTACAGCTATGCCATTCATATTCTGTACAAGGGAGAAATATCCTTGGTGTGAATTTGCCGAAGAGGTTGAGAATGGACCAACAACAATACTGATGTCAGAGCTTGCTCAACGTTATGGAATGGTAATCGTTTCTCCGATTTTGGAGAGAGACACTGAAAATGGCGACACCTTGTGGAACACATCGGTGGTGATTGGCACAGATGGAAAAGTGATTGGAAAACACAGGAAGAATCATATTCCTCGCGTGGGTGACTTCAATGAATCTACCTATTACATGGAAGGCAACACCGGCCACCCAGTTTTCGATACTTGCTTCGGACGCATTGCTATCAATGTTTGCTATGGTCGTCATCATCCTCAAAACTGGATGATGTTTGGTTTGAATGGTGCAGAGGTAAATTCATTTCTAAATCTAAAAATCTTTTTAAAACTCTAAGGATCTAAAGTTTCTTAGGTTTACGATAGTAAAAACTATTTTATATTAAATTTACTTGTCTAGATTGTCTTCAATCCATCGGCAACTACTAGTCACACGTCAGAGCCACTTTGGTCCATCGAGGCGAGATGTGCAGCTATAGCAAACAGCTATTACACTTGCGCAATTAATAGAGTTGGAACCGAAGTCTTCCCCAATGAGTTTACATCTGGAGATGGTGCTCCAGCGCACCGTGACTTTGGACATTTCTATGGATCCAGTTACATCACTGCTCCCGATGGTACTCGTACTCCTGGTTTGAGCCGTTGCAAGGACGGACTTTTGGTCTGCGAAGTAGATCTGAACTTGTGTCGTCAGATGAAAGACTTGTGGTGTTTGAGAGTAAGCTGCAATTTTTTGCGTGTACCTCCGATGTAGTTAGAAATAACTATTCATGATCTTCCTACGTGTTGGCTTTCAAATTTCAGATGACCCAGAGATTGGACATGTATGCCAAAGAACTTACCAAGTACGTGGAGAAGAATCTGAACCTGGACAAAGAGATGAACCAATAAATCAACACCAGAGTCATCGAAAGTATACATTGTGCACATTCCATCTGTTGCCCTATATTTGTATCAACCGGAAAAAGAGTGTGAAAATTATATACAGATACTTTTAATGATATGTTGTCCCAGAGTGTCCGACAACCTTATACACATCCTGTTCCAAAATGACGTAGGTTAATTCCAATAAGAATATTATATAAATATTCATTTCTTTTAAATAGTTTAATTCAGTCATTATTTAAAAACGTTATAAATAGAATTTCTAGAAAAGTACGACTTAGCATAAGTCTATAAGTTACACGATTACATTACAATTCTTTTTACATACTTACAAGCTCCTTAAACTTAATTAAAAATAATATTTATTCAAAACTTTAAAATTTAATTGGTTGATCCAGCATTTAATGTTGTATTGTGAGTCTGTTTCCGGTAATGGAGAGCTTCTTGATATGCTTTCTTCACTGCTTTCCTGTCCGTAGGCTTCCGGGACTCTATCAACTTTGCTTCATCCAATTCTTGAGACACTCCAAGTTTCTCCAATTTTTCACCTGGCAACCATTGCCTACAACAAAATCGTATTTGTCTCTATAGTATAAAAAACAAGAGTGTTGCGGGAGAATATAATTACCATGTTCGTTTGGTGTCGAAGAAAAGAACAAGAAACACTGGTTCCTTGTAATTGACTGCAAGTGCGAGTACGTCGTCTGGCGGAGCCGGTATCGGTACACCCTTGTGTACAGTGCCCCTAGGCGTACTAGGGTCTATTATCAGAGCTGGATACCACGGGTAACCGCGACATTTTGCCCACACCAGCTGCAGAGCCTCCAGACCATTACTCACTGCACTTTGCTTAGTTTCGGTTTCTTTCTTAGTTTCGTCGACATCTTGTTTTTGTTTCTCTTCTTCTAGATCGGGAGTATTAGACCTACTCGTCGAACAACTGCTGCAGCTAGACGATTGACTTTCACCTTCTCCAACGTCGCTGTCCATTGTTCCACTCCTGCAAATTTAAATATATATCTTAGATACTTTCAGATATTTTTAAAAATAGCGATACTAACCGGTACACTTTGAAGCTATCACTTTGTTTCTTCTTATCGTCATCCAAAATAAACATCTGATTGCTTCTGCTGGCACGTGCTCTGGCCTTGCGAGTAAACAAAACAACCGTTCTTCTATTTACACCTCCCACTTCTTTCTCCCCGGTTTGTGATTCAGCCTCTCCTCGACTTCGATTGGCGCGGTCCCTTTTTCTAGATTTAGAAGCCGTTTGTTCGGATTCACTAATAGGATCCAGATCGGGGTAGTCTTTGCGTGCTTGCTCTATCAAAGCACCGCCTTGTTCCTTCATTTTTATTCCAGCTCGATAGAACATCGTATCCTTACGGTTATATGCCAAACAGTTGTTCACCATCAAAATAAAGTCCGCTTCGAAGGCTCCGATAGTATCGTATTCTTGCCTTTCTATTTTATCCTAACATAACATTTAAATAAAAAGAAGATTGTTACACAAATGAAGTTTCTCTTGTATACAAGTGTGCTTACCTGCATCGTAGAGAGATCCATAGGATGTGTTACAATTTCCAAGTAATCTGGAACTTCCTTGGTGTTTACTGGTTGTCCAAATACATCATTTACATCTTTCGCTTTAATAGCCTCTAACAAAGTACGCAAAATACTTTCCAATGGGCGCAGTTCGAACCACAAACACTTCTCTTTCCTACAAGATTAAACGTCCCTTAAATTTAGGTACTTATTAAACTTTCTATAGCAATTGAGTTACAAATCATTTCTGCAAGTATTTTTTGAAATCTTACACTTTAAATAATTCTTTTTTCAATTTTTCTCGTTTGCGGACCAGCTCGCATAGCAATCGCGCTCGCTCCAGATCCTGACGTAGACACTGCCAGTATTTCAGTTGCCGATACAATTCTCCGCGCAGTTCACCATCTGGAGGAGGCGAGGAACCTCCGAGTGGTGGTGGTCTAGACTGTGGATGGGAGCTTTGGAGCCTTCTCAAAAGTGGGACACCATTCCTGTTCTGCCGTTTTAGAGTCCAGTATGCTATAAGGCGCTGTATCAGCTGACTCTTTTTCGGTAATCCTTCCGCCAAGCTAATAAACATTGCAGACTATCATTGAAATAAATGATCTATTTACAATAAATGTCATCTAAAATGAAATTGTCAATTATTACCCAGCAATTTCCTGAATACGTTCGGGTGGTATGGTTGGAATAGAAATAACAGGCGCGGAAGAACTCTTCTTATTAGCAATTGCTCTTCTTCTAGCATCTGCAGGATTGGTGGAAGGCTGATAATCAGGAGGCGTGTGCGTTTCACAGTAAGCCGTCTTTTGTACTAGCATGGGTTCACCATTAGCTGGTTGCACTGTTCTCATACGCATACACAGGCCAGCTTGTTGCGCACAAGTCACGTGAAACGCAGCATAACAGTTACTTTTGTGACATTGAATGCAAGCGCCGAAACCTCTACGTTTACACACGCAGCATGTGAGTCTCCAGCGAGCAGCAGGTATACTTTCGATACTATCTATAGGCTCCAAGAATACAGTGTTGGCAAATCTGACTTCAGGTATCCATAAAGCGCATACAACGTGCGCCCATGCAGCTGGTCGATCGGTTTGTTTAAAAGCACCGCCTCTGTTGGGGCATAAAACGCAATCAACGGCTCGCGAAGGACTTTGCAAGCATCTTCTGCACAACCACTGTCCTTCAGGAATGTACGGTACGCCGTAACAGTCTTGATGAACAGCAAGATTGCACATATCACAGAATAATATCGCGTTGCTGTTCTGACATTCTCCGTCCATACAAATGCAGCAAACTGCATCTTCGTCGGCTGCTACTCCTCCACCACCGTTACTTTGTTGCTGAAAGTAAGATTCTTTTTCCAGTCTGTCCATTAATAATTCAAACGTGTCCGGTTCTAAGGGTGGCGTAAGCCCAGAAACCAATCGTCTTTCGTTTACTATGGACAGCCATGCTGTATCCTCCTCGTCCAAATCATATTCTACTTCTCCTAAAAAAGTAATCATCTTTATGAGAAACTATAAAAATTATAATTGACATTTAAATACACAGTAGAACGTCGATTATCCAAACTAATAAGGAGACAAATTTTTCAGATAATTGGCTGAGGATGACCAAAGTTCCTACTATATAATAAAACAGCAAATGAAATCATTTTGAAAGATGTATGTTTATTACTTGAAAAGACACATGGTAAACATAACATGAAAAGCAAATCCATTACTTTTGTTGAACATCCATTTTCTTTTTAACAATTGCTCATCACAAAGCTATATACATATGTCTCACTTTTGTTCAGATAATAGATGTTTTACCATACACTTGAAGTCAGTTTCAAGTCATTGTTTGAGTAAAAATAAATATCATTCAAGACAGTATTGCACACCATCAAGTTCTTCGCCGCTGCGTTCCATGAATCTAATATATGAATTAGGAAGTGGTTCTGCTTCTCCTAATTGCTGTTCATATCCGTCTATTTCCTTAACCATTGCTACAGGTAAGCTACTAAGAATATTCTTTTCATCCTTATCTTTATCCGTGGATATACTGTGACCTTTTTGTCCCATGCTTTTCTCATCAAATCCGCTTCCTTCCAAAGAAATGATGGGCACAGAGTCAGTGATTCCAATTTTAAATGTCTTGTGTGCATCTTCGCCGATTGGGTTCACCTTGAAAGCAAATAATCCAATAGCATAATCGTGGAATGTTGATTTTCATTGTATTTACTATTCATTGAATTTGAAAAAAAAAACTGCCACAACTTATGACAGTCGAATACAAACGTTAGTCAAGGTTGAAATTATGCGATTATGTGTATGGTAAACAGTCATAAAATACACGTCATACCAAAACAAATTTCGATGATTCCTGTAAGGTTAGAGCCTCCGTGTTCGTAGGGCTGGCACAATCACTATTCACACCACTAACTCTGTTCCTGCCCTTCTTCTTATTCGATTGCGGGGTGTTCATCTTCTCTCGCTACTTTGCGTATTCTTATAAGCGATGTGATTATATCACTCAGCTCCGATTTTACTTACATATGTTTTGCTTTACATCGCCAAAGTATCATTGGTGAATTTATGTTTATTACGGATAATAATATGGGGTAGCTAAATAATTTGTTCATTTTCTTATAGATGCGTTAATTTGAAAAATGTACATCCAATGGAAGGAAGAGACGCTCGCTAATATTCACTAACTGTCACTAACTTTCACTCGCATTCGCTATGTTTAAATGGTTACACTGGTATACACTAACCAATTTGAGCGGCAGCGCAACCAGCATTGATATAGTAATACATTGAGGGTGGACCTTGCGGTAAATCGTAGGACGCTTCTTCCTAGGAACTTTTTTTAGGTGGGTACTTTTGATTGGTGAGTAATGAAACTTACCTTTACGTAAGGGTGTTTTAAAAATGTTGGAGGTTCTTGAAAGGGGTGGTTCGGGTGATTTGAAACAACTTTTTCCTTTGCAAAAATGTCGGATAGGGCTTCGTTAAGGAGATATTAAGAAAAAACACCGACCAATCAGAGCGCGAGTATGCCGGTTGAGCGTAGGCTCCGCGCTAGGCGGCCGCTCTGATCGGCATACTCGGCATACTCGCGCTCTGATTGGTCAGTGTTTTCCGTTAATAACTCTTCAACGAAGCCTCGGACAACATTTTCGCTAAGGAAAAAGTCGTTTCAAATCACCTCCCGAACCACCCCTTTCAAGGTGTTACAACATTTTTGGGCCACCTGTGTAAATAAGTTTATACGGTCGAAGATTGCATATACGCATTTAGGTACACAAGCATGGACCCACAGCCTACTCTAGAGTCGGTTGCGAGTACGATCATAATGTGCGTTTACAATTTCAGGTGCTGGTGTTGCCGCCTGGCGGCGTAAATTCTGGACAACTCGAATTGTAAACGGGTCCGGTTGGAGCTGTCGACCCTGGTTCCGTGTGCTTTACATGCAGAGTGGGGGAGGGTAAGAGATCTAACTTTACACCAGTCATCGGCAGTATTTGTTCCCGTGCCCGCAGCTTTGGTCGTCTATCTCGTAATCGAAAGTTTGGTGCGAGGAGCTTAGTTTACCAGATAACCGATATCCGTGTTTTGTGAGAGTGCGGGTCGCGTAGCAGCAACCGGAATCAACTGGATTTGTTACCGTGGGGCTCGATGTTCCGCTGAGAATTATGTCGGATACTGGCGCAGGATTACGATCGGTCACACGTCAAGTCAGCTGACATATTGCGCCCTGCTACACCGCAACAGCTCTTGGTAAGTGTCGCAATAGCTCTACCCGCCTCGTCTACCGCGACTATTTTTATCGAATACCCATGAAATTCGTGGACGTCGACGGCAACGTCTAATTCAATGGGCCTTTTTGACAAAAAACCACGGGATTATAACCGCCTCTTTGTTCCGTTCCCTCTCGCCTCGTCCCTACTCTTATCCCGTCGCGTACACCATTGATAAAAAGATGTCCGCGCTACGTAGCGTGTACGTATTTAGCGGACAAAGGGAACAACGACGCAATTTCTGATTAAGTGCATACTCTCAAGGATGGAAGCCATGTCTCCGATGTCCGTCCCGTTTCTTCGTGCTCTTTGACTGCGTGCGTGTGTGCCGTGTCCGCACGACGGCAGCGCCGATACGATTCAAGCGCAAAAGCACACTTATGCGTTTATTCTCCCTGTACCCTGCCCCCGCCCGCGGTTTTCATACCCCCTTCCGTGCACCCGTATCCGCACTGGCTTAAATCCCCTTCCTTTTGGCCCTTCATGTGCTCCTTGAGCTAGCGATGGCCACTCGGCACTCCACAACGTCTACCCGTCACGCTGGAACACGATCTTTTCTCGTTCCTCTGTGTTTATTGTTATTCAAATCAGGGAAACTCGAAGAAACTCTGTGAACTTTAATCGGTGCACGCGTATCACTTCATCGTTATCTATACGTTTCAAATCTCGCGCACAGTCCAGAAAGAAACCAAAACGCGTTTCGAGTACTACCGACATCAAAATAAACCGATGATCCAGGAGTCAGTTTGTGGGATACTGTGTCGAGTTCTTGGAAAATAAAACGCAAGTTCTGTGCGTTGGAAATTTCTTGAAACTCCTAGGAAACCATGGAAATAGATCATAAATAAATATAGACGTTGATATCAACCGAGGCTTCCGTGTCCTTTGGATAAGATACTCCAATGTTTTGCTAGAAACACTGCAGGTAGCTTCTTTAGGGTTCGAATAACAGACTGGTGTATCAGTACATACCTAATCCAGATCTATTTGCCGGATTAGGTCTGGGTTAGGCTAGGATTAAGTTATTAAGTCTAGGTTGGTTATAGTAGGATTAAGTTTGGTGTAGTTCTGGGTTACATTGAGTTAGATCTCTACTGTTATATTAATACATCGTCTTATCCAAAGGATAGAGCTTACACCCGGAAGTCTTAGTTAATTTCAACCATAAAGGTTTATCCAAGCATGAGAATAGAAAGGTTCATCCAAAAATACCTTTGTACTACTTTTTCCATCTATATGAATCGATACAATTCATTTTTCGTCGAAAGTATAAGTTTCCCGTACGACGAAGAATCTCTTGAACTCTGATGTAATTTCTCCGAGCGGTGACGTTGCTGAACGCTTATAATTTATCATCGCAATTAATCGGCTCGAGTTTTCATGAATCCTCTTATCTTTATGTAACGGTGTAAACAGTTTCGACACTTTGATTGTTCGGAGCTAAATTGGCCAAACCCATCGCTAGTCCACGCTCACAAACAAACTCTTGGTGTGTCTGAGCAGCTTGCTTGGTTGTTCCTTTCTGCGGCGCGTCGCTCAGTTCCATGCAGTCTCTCAAGCCAGAGAGGCTTGTTTGCGACTTTGCTAAGTCGAGAGTAGGTCCATGCGAGTAGCTGCCATGGTAGATGGTATAAAATATCCACGGTAGGATGGAACAAATCTCTAGCGAGATGGAACAGGTCCGCGGTAGGCGAAACGTATGGTGTAATAGAGGAGGGGACTCATTTAATTGGATTTCGGACGATGGCGACTGGTTTGTTTGCTCCAACAACGGGAGGTTAACGCGCGTAACTCTGTAAAACCAACAGGTTCTGCGTGTGTCGGCTCTCTCGGGGCTGAATGCTCGCAATAGAAACGATTAGCAGATTGACGCTAGTGTCAGTGTAGATTAGAATGAGCCACACCTCGCTTTCTTCCGCTATGAGCGATGTAAAATGGCTGCACGTACAATTACCAACGGAGAATAACTTCGCTCGATGACGCTTTCATGGGATTTCACTGTCGTTCATCGGTGGCGCGTGCTCACGTGTCCGTGCGTGGACAAGATTACTCGCTTGATACTTAACCATATCTATAGGTCAAAATTTCCTCTCTCTCCGTCTAGTTTCATTATCAGAATTGTCCCAATTTAATCTCTCTAAATTTACTTCGGCACTTGTTTCGCCGAGAGAAATTTTCAAAAGGCATCCACGACCCTTTTGGAGGGCTGGGAGTTGTGTGGAATTCCCTACACAACTTGTATAGAGGTACAGGACCTACCTACTAAACTCTCACGGTGTCCTTCCACGTGCGCAATAGGGGAGGGGAGGGTATCGTCAACGATACAACTTCCTCCTAAATTTACTTTGATAGTACATGTCTTTTAGCTGACTCTAATGTCCCTTTTTTTTATTGTCGCTCTTCCGGAAACGAATTTTTCGTCATTCTCATATATCTCATATAATCGTGAGCACGTTAAGCAGTTGATAACCATGACTTTGTGAGAATGTTTCATATAATAGTCGCAGCGATAGTGGTCCTCCACTTTTTTTTTGACAAACGTTTTAAACATTTCCATCTGTAAAGAAAATGACGCAATTAAGAATGGATTTTATTTATATTATAACATGGTGCAGTTCTTACATCACGTGATTGCATTGTTAATTTTGACAAGCGCCTAACTCTATCGAGTAGATGTCTATTGCATGATCGCAATTCAAAGAGTGACTAATATTAGAGCTCAAGAACATTCGCAATTGTACGTCAATAACGAGTTGAAGTTCTCTAACCTGTTTAAATACGTATTTAGAAGATTTATAACAAATTCTACTCTTCAGTCATTAACCCTTTGTGATCCTGATGTTTTGCTGGGAGATCTTGTGGTTTGGAAATTGTTAGAAAAAATGGCCAATTCAAATATTGCCGCGCTTTAGACTAGCGTGCACCCTTTGGGCGAACGTACATACCTCCGACAACTATTACCATCGCGTGGTAAATTTAAAAATTCAGCAATCTGAAACAAAGAAGACAATGCCTAATCTCAAGTACGATGTGAAAAAGTTGTAAATGTACAGTTGTATCGTGTCTTACAATGCGAAATAAAAATGAGTCAACCACTTGCGATTGGAGTTAACAGTGACTAAAAGAGAATTTCTCTTTGTCATTCTCCTCTGCTACATGATTCAAGTTTGATTTGATTAGGAATTATTACAATGACGTCACGCGTTCGAGGAACTAACGGATTCGAATCCCGTTCATTTAATTCGTGGCCCTTTCACTGTGCCGGAATTCTAATGTTCTGAAATCAACATTTTCTTTTTATAATTTACTTTCGTTTACTTCACAAAGCATTCTCTCTTTGTAAAACTATTTGAAAACAACATTTTCTTTTTATAATTTACTTTCATTTACTTCACAAAGCATTCTCTGTTTGTAAAACTATTTGAAATCAACATCTTACCTGAATCTAATCTAACCTCGATGTACGGATAACTGCGATGTGCCGTAGTCAATGTTTGTACTGATTTGTACGTCCGCCCAAAAGCTGTATGACTATATCGCCATCATCGAGTGCAAAGCGCGGGAATATTTGAATTCATAATATTAGAAAAGTTCATTTTCTCTGAGTAGTTTGTTAGAACAAATCATTTCTAAAGTAGAACATGAAGTTATAGGAAAACGTCATCGTATTTTAATTTCGGTAGAGCATATTTGAGTCTCTTTCCTAATTCCACATTTTACTATCGATACTATTTTTCCGAAGAATTCTAATATTTTGAAATCAACATTTTCTTTTTATAATTTACTTTCATTTACTTCACAAAGCATTCTCTGTTTGTAAAACTATTTGAAATCCACATCTTACCCGAATCTAATCTAACCTCTATGTACGGGATTTGTACGTCCGCCCAAAGGCTGCACGACTATATCGCCATCATCTTGTGCGAAGCGCGGCAAAATTTGAATCATAATATCATAAAAGTCCATTTTCTCTGAGTAGTTTGTTCGAACAAAAACCTCTAAAGTAGAACATACAGTTATAGGAAAACGTCATCGTATTTTAATTTCACTAGAACATATTTGAATCTCGTTCCTAATTCCACATTTTACTATCGATATCGCTTAGGCATCGTACCTACGTTCACGGCTATACTCCTTAGAAGACGCATGCGCGGTAAGAATCGAGACCTGAAAAACGCCAGTTTCGCCTCTGTAAAAGTACTTTGTGCCATCATGAAAACATTCGGCCATCGTCGTTATCGTTGTTTCTCCACCGTCCTTGCAGGTTCCTCGGATTGAAGTAATATCGAGCGCTCGAGCGCGAAGTTGCACACAAAGAGCGCGAGAGAGACAGACAGAAAAAGGGAGCGCTATTTGGTAACGTTTCGTTTTAGCTTGGTGTAAGCGACAACGCAGACAAAGCGTGTTATACCCGCGCATTTAGTGGGCTTGTGAATTGCGTCGAGATTTGTGCGAACGAGTTAGGAGAGAGACCTAGGTCGGCCCGTGGTTATCGATGGCACGCCGTCTAACGTCGCGATAAGGATACGAGAACCCACTTAAATGCCTCGAACGAATTCTTACTCCATGTTGTGCGTTGGTTGCAACACGACTGCGTGTTGGAAAGTGAGTAATATCACGTTTCCCGATCACGCCTCTTCCATCGGGATTTTATTGCGCCGAACAGGAAAATCGGATCGGTTGTGTCGTCGTCGAAATTCCAAACTTGTCCCGTCGTCTCTACCTTCTTCCACCGTTTCTTCGGTTCCTGGACCATTGTTTTTCTCTCTCCTTGTTCCCGATTCACGAGTTTTATTTGCCCTTGGAGGAATCACTCTCTCGACCAGCAGTTCCACACGAGGGGAACGGCCCTTGTCTCACTGTATCGTCGCTGCTGCTGCTGATTTCTAATTCTGTGTACAGAGACTTCTTTATGTGTGCACGCGTGTGCGCGAGTGGAAATTTGACGTGAAAATTCGTGTCTGATTTTTGTATATTTTTTTCCTTTTTTTTTTTTTTTTGTCGTTCCGGGAGGGAGAAGGTTATTTTTCCGTTTTCTCTTTCTTTTCTCAATTCTACGGACGATAACTCGACTATTCGCGGTCGTCGCATCGTGACACGCTGGTGTGTAATGATCATCTACGTTTTCTCGTCCTTTAAACTGTCGCGAGTTTCATCATGCTGTTCCAACGCCTTTTTCATGATCAAACACCTAGTGACGAGTCGTGTCTCGCTGAAGACAAAATGTGAGCAAACCAGTACTTTCTAAAATTAAATCTTTGCACATTCGGAAGAGCCAGTGACAACAACTTTGTTTCATGTTTCACTGTGTCTCTTAGCGTTCTCGGACAACTTGCGCTTCTATTATAACCTATTCATAAATTTCGCGAATACTATTTGATGTAGTCATCGAGCAAATTGCGAATGTAAATTTGATACTGCATGTACATAAATTGACTGATATCCACGAGAAAACTTGTCTCTTTGTGTGGTTAGAATGGATAATAAAAGGAAATTACTTTCAATAGGTGAATATATGGTGACAAACGGTCGCAACGGATCAACCAGAGAGCGAGCTGTGGCAAGAGACACTTAGTTATCCCTCGCTTAGCTGACTGCAAATACTTGATAATTTTCAAGTAATTGCGAGTAGGATAAACAGAAGGACTCGCTTAAACGTTGAAGTTCTACTGGTATAAGCAGACAAAATGGAACGAGAATCGAATCCTATGCAAGCTTTGTGCCGCAGCGGCTGTGGATTTTATGGCTCGCCGGCTACGGACGGCCTTTGTTCTCTTTGTTACAAAGAAAACTTAAAAAAGAAGCAACAACCTCCTGTATCCACAGCCACTGTAACAACATCACAGACCGTCTCTGGTAACGCTGGCACGTTGCAAGGAGGCGGTTTTGGTAGTCCTGCAGCAACAGGAACTACGGCCCAACCTACCATTCCTACTATACCTCAACCAATGACAGATCTGCCTAACCCCAAAGAAGTGAGTTGTTAAGCTATAATTACCAATGTTACCAGAATTAGAGATTAAGAAATGATCTTCTGTATGTTTACTAACTGTTTGAGTGCCAGATAATGCAATTAAGCTTCTTCCATTTAGTATCCCAAAAGTGTCAGCTCATTGTGAGCAAAAACAGCTCATCAAGAGTTGAATGGACTGCATGCTTGAATTTTCGCAATGTCTGTCTTTAACATTTTCATGTTCGGTCGTCTCGTGCGAGTTATATTGTTTGATCACCTGTTTCCTATAAAATAATATATGTAAATAAATATGATGTCTCTGAAATTGATTATTGCAACTTGTACAACGTTTTATGGCACTCCAATGGTTAAGTAACACCGTAATTCGTCTGTTATTTGATTTACAAGTGTTCTGTAAGATATTCATCAAGTTAGGCAAGTTGTATTTACTATAAAGTTATTATCACGATCGCTAATAATGAACCCGTTTATGTTCTATACTAGATAAACAGGGAAGATCAAGAAAGCGAAGTAGGTGTAAGCACTGGAGCAGTAGCAGAAGGATCTGTGAGTAGTGGGGATGCGGACGACTGCTTCGATGGCAAAGAGACTGATAAAGAATCTAAGAAGAAGAAAAATCGTTGCGCGGTGTGTCGCAAAAAAGTTGGCTTAACGGGTGAGTAGACTATTGGTAAAAATGAATGGTTTTCAAACGGGATAATTAATAATGTAATTTTTATTCAGGATTCGAGTGCCGTTGTGGAGGACTGTTCTGCTCTGTGCATCGATACAGTGATAAGCACGATTGCAAATTCGATTACAGAGAAATGGGCGCCCAAGAGATTCGGCGCAACAATCCGGTTGTTGTTGGTGAAAAAGTGCAAAAAATTTGAACTATTTAGTGCGTAGTCGTTGGGAAAATGGTTATATAACTATATAAACAAACAGAATATAAAAACGGAGAAAACGAGATAAATTATCTGGCAGCTGATTGCACGTCGAGGGGCGAAACGGGTGAATGGGAAGAATTATGAGAGGGAGAAGTGGGGGAAAGTATGTATGAGCGTGAGAGAGGGTGAGAAAGGAACAGTGAGAGTGTAACGACAGAGAGAATGAGTCAACGTTAGAGATGGAGAGGGAGAATGGTAGGAAAAATTGGTTTTTGTGCACGAATATGCAGACGGAACGGGAAAACGAGATTTCCGCGAACAAGATAAAACGATAACAAAGGAAACAAAAGAAAAATTAGAGTGCGTGCCGCGCGTGTACGAATGCTTTCAAAATTGGATGTCAGTGCCATGTCAGATTGTCATCTAGCGCGAGTTTCAATCGAGAATATATATATATATATATATATTTATGTATATATATATATTTGGTTCTAACTGCTGCCAGCTTACTACTACTATTACCTATTATTATCTACAACTATTACGGTTTATTATTATTCTATATTATGTTTATTAATTTACTTAAATGCAAAATTCGCATACGAAGTTTGTTTTAAACTAAACTCAAGGACTCTTGGCGACAGTCAATCACTGTCCAGAAGTTCCTGTTTTGAGTCGGAAAAAAAAATTTTTATATATATATATTTCTATTTTGTTCTTATATCAAAAGTAAAAAAAAGAGGGAATGTTGCTTAGGTAGTGGCTGACGTTGATGGGTGATCACAATCCTAGGTTAACGATTAGTCTAATAATGATTAAGTATATTAGTCTATTGATTCATAAATAATGCAATGAAGTATAAGTAGTACTGTGTGTTTATGTCCAATTTCACGTGAATATAACCAGCATTATTCCTCATTAAATATGTTTCAAACTATATTGCAAATCATTATTTACGCCGTTGTTCACTCATTCTCTGATTCCCTACAGTTTCAGTAGAGAATTAGTTATCGAAACTTTGACCAGTCGGTTTTCTCAAGTTTCTTCTTTTTCCCCTCTTGTGGATATGTAGAAGTGCACGAGACATATATTGGTGCTAGAATACTGTACCATGTGCAAGTAAAAAGATGAAACGTCTAAAAGTCCAGGTCAAGAACGAGGCCCCTCGACGAAGGGACGACTCTCGCCCTCCATCGATTATTCTGGAAAATTTCAATGTTCTCCGTCTGTTTCTAACCATTTTCTTCTGTGTTGCAATTCTTTGAGGTACGTTTCGGTTTTCTCCAGCGTGTCTGAACTCTTTAGCTAGAGCTCAATAGAGAGAAAGAGCGAGAGAGAGAGAGAGAGAGAGAGTGTGAGAGTGAGGAAAGTTGCCACATTAGGTGTTTGAGTTTAACGAATCGCTTATAACTAAAAATCTCATGCGAGGCGTGTAACGAAACTGCTTTGTGGTTCGTTTTTTTCTTTTTTTTTTTTGTGAAGAAGAACTGCTTTCTCGCGTACTCTGTGTCTTCTTTAAAACGTGTGTGAATCGATAATCGTCACTGGGGTCCTTTGCGATTATTGAACAGATGGAAAGCGAGAGAAAGAGATGAAATAAACAAACAAACACCTGTGTATCGTATCATCTCGCAATATGCTGTCTTCGAAACACGATTTTTTTTTTTTAAAGAGTATAGCGATTTTTTGGAACCGCGCGACAGCCGATAGCGATAATACTGAACGAAGTCATACAAAGAAAAAAAAAGTACTGTATTGATTACGTTATAGAATAAAGTAAATCGTTCTTATTTCAGTACCACGTTATCGATAGTCCTTTTTAGTGAAATTATTGTATATGCAAAAGGGATAACCAAGCATGTTCACGTGTATCGCAGCAAAGCAACTGGGTTGACTTCCCAAAGAGATCACTTGAACATATGTGGAACATATATGTGTGTACAGAGTGGGACTTATCGGTCGTCACAATTTTTCAACTTTTTGTAATCGTCGTACGAAGGAAATGTTATAAATAAAAATCGTATTGTTTCAATATAATTACGTAGTGACCATTGTTGACGCATTACATCAGTTGTTTTACTTTGATAAGTGTCAAGTTATGTTTTTGTTTTTGAATTATACCATATTATTGTTTCTTTGACGATTGTATACTGTGATTTAACACGTTGCCAACTGTGTCACATTGTGCGCTTATAAAGATACACAATAATGTAAGGCAGGCAATACGAAATCAAAGATAATATTGACAGGCAGTAAATAAGAATTAATTTTCAAAAGTATATTTGCGGTCACTTATATCCCTACGAACTCTCTTTAAGCTTCGGACAAGTGCAGTTCGCAATATTGTCTACTTGTATTTAGGAAAAAAACAGTTATTTTTCTTAATAAAATAATGTTTATCTCACAAGTATCGTTCAGAAGTTGAAATGATCCCGTGTTATTGTGTAAAGTTGACGAAAAGCGTAAAGTGGCAAGGTGTTAAGTTAGTAGTCCGAAAGCTGCGGATAACGTTTTGTACTTTCCCTATAAACTAGATCGTTTCCATCTCTAACGCCACGCCATGCTTCGATATCAATTATCACGTTGCGTGTATTGAAATCATACGATTCTTATTTGGAAACATGTTTCTTTACCCAGAGAGAACTAAAAAGTAATTGAAAAATCCTGATGGCAGCGGACAAGTCTCTCGAGCACCCCCTTGCATGCCAGTTGTTAATCGTTTTGTCGCCACGAGATTTTTGTTCCGACTCCCACATTTTAATCGGATAAAAAAGAAAAAAAGTGTGTCAGCTAGATCGAAGTAATGTCTGTGTAGAAGGAGGTACGCACACACCGAGATTATCAATAATATCGACGGAACGGTTGCCTTCAGGCCTTCATCCTATTTTAGACATAGCATATTTTTCTAAGATGTAACACGATTCGTCGAGGTACAACCTTGCCTAGCGTGAGCGAGTGACAGAGAAAAGCACGTCATAGAGAGCGGGTAGAAGTGCAATGAAAGAAAAAGAAAAACCAATGAAAGAATGACCGACGGAGTGAATGGTAGGGGACAATTTAGCTCGAAAAATCGGTAGGAGCTAACAGGAGACAAGATTTAATGAGTGACGTTCGCGCTCAGCTGACTATATAAGGACGTAACGATGCTTGTAATTATTACGATTGATATTAGTAAGTTTAAGCGATTAAAAAATAACGTCGACTTTAATATATTACCATCATTACGATTACCATCCTCTGAAATGCTTTAAACCTTAGGTTCGCCTAGACGAACGGACCGGTGTATTTCTACAGCCCTCCGCTTCATACGCCCTATTATATCCTTTTCTTTTTATAAGACATCTCTTTAATGAGCCGCAATTAATCTGTATCGATCGTATACAGAGATCACCCCCCCCCCCCCCCTCCAATGGTTCTTAACGTTTATAACTACGGTGGACTATGTTTATGTATATTTTTAAAAACAAAATATATATAAATTCATGGCCCTAGAAGAAACAACTAATACGAAGTTATTCGTCGTGGCTTTCCCGCATTACAACGAGGTCGATATAAATCATTTCTGAAATGTTACGATCTTTTTCAATTGATTTAGATTAGAGCTGGTGATTCACTGTTACGAAGTTGGTACTCGGTAGTGCTCGGAAGGTAACTAGTACACGAGTAGTTATTTCGCATACGAACTTTCTTTATGAAATAAAATTATTTTAACAATAGAACTGTTACTCAATCTAAAATTATTATTTCAAACCTTCGAAATTCTGTACGAAGAAAGTTTGATTAAAAAATTTAAATAATATATTCGTGGTGTTCGTAAAAAGAATGTCCCTAAATTTTAGGGGAAAATGTATGAGCTGAGATTTTTTTGCGATTTTAACAATAGAACTGCTACTCAATCTAGAATTATTATTTCAACCTTCAAAATTCTATACAAACAAAGTTTGATTTATTATATATTCGTGGTGCTCGTAAAAACAATTAATGCTTTTGTTCCTAGATTTAAGGGGAAAATGTATGAGCTTGAATTTTTTGCGATACGCTTTTATTTTCAAGTAAATTTCGAATATAATATCTTTATTTATGAGAAACTGTAATAAATAAAATATTTCCAGGGGTATTAAATAAAATTTAGTTTTTTTGCGTTACGGCCTCTAATCTAACTCAAGGGAATTCGTTCTGCACTAGTTGGTAACACTGATCCCCTCCCTTTATCCACAGAAAGCGAGGTAGCCATTGAGCCGTAACGTGTGAGGTTAAGTTTGTGTTTGTAATTTTGATATTTCGACAATTCTCGTTACACGGACTCCGTATTGCCAGTTGATTAAGCAAAATTTCAATCGTATTATTTAAATTATCCAATCAAGACGGCCGCAATGTCGATCGGAGTACCAATAAAGGTACTCCATGAAGCAGAAGGTCACACGGTAACCTGTGAAACGAATACTGGTGAAGTGTATCGGGGCAAATTGATAGAGGCCGAAGACAATATGAATTGTCAGATGCAGAATATAACCATAACCTATAGGGACGGACGTGAGGCACAGCTAGAAAATGTTTATATCAGAGGATCGAAGATTAGGTTTCTCATATTGCCAGATATGTTGAAGAATGCACCGATGTTCAAAAGACCGGGCGGGAAAGGCTCGGGGACCGCCGGTAGAGGGAAATCTGCTATCTTACGTGCTCAAGGTATGTTTATAGAATGTTTTAGCATTGGTTACATATTAATGACATTAATTCAATTCTGTTTTAGCTCGTGGAAGAGGTAGAGGTCAAAATCAAAGAGGCAGAGGTACAGGCTCTGCTCCTTGGCTTAATCAACAGAATCAGCCAGGAGGATCTCAAGCAGGAAGAGGACGAGGTTAAATTATAATATTTTAAGGGACACAAAGATAAGAGAAAAATAATTGACAAAAGCTTGTCTATTCTTTCTATACCATTTATAAGATGTTTCTCCAAATTTCTATATCAGGAATGGAATTATCAATAAATCGATAGAATGCTTTTTCTATATTATCTTTGTATACTTGTTTTATTTTTCATGATACAGTAGGACTCCATCTGAATTAACAGCATCATGGTACATGGTTATCTAAACACATTGATGTGCTTGAAAGAATTTGTTAACTCTTATTATATAAACTACCCAGTTACCCAAACTTGGTTTTCTTCCCACTGGTTTAGATAAATGAAATTATACTGTACATTGTACTTACATCTAGAGAAATTATAACCAAAACATTTGATAACTGTTGCTTAGCAACTTTTAGCAACGAAACTATAAACTACACAGAGGGATGTGTGATACGATCCTCTAGAGTCACTAGCATTCCTTGGCCCTCTGGTGGCGAGTACAAAGCGTCCCCACAGTCGGCAAATTTCGAATAGCTAACCCCATGATTAATCTACTGGAACGTGTAAACTCTGTGGTCAACTGCGTCTTGTCAAGCAAGTCAATTAATGTTTATTCAATACTCACAAAGGATGGACAACAGCAATTGACTACTAATTTGTTGACAGAAGTTTCGGCAATTCACGCTAGTATCTTAGTCTGATTTTTGTCTATCGATTGGTTTACTTATTTGTAAAAACGGAAGTACTTCAAGACAGTGCAAAAAGAGTGATTTTTATTTATTATTAACAAATAAGATAATAAGATATGGAGAGAAGTACTGGACGGAGGTACGAGGAAGAGGCAACTGAGCAGCCCGTAGATTACATTAAAAAATATGTAGAGAGAAAGACGGTAGCTCAAAACCATCCTATTGAAGGCTCACCTAGAGCTGATAGATCTTGTAAGAAGGAATTTGGAGAACGTGACTCCAAAGTAGATCTATTTGGAGACTATGCAGAGACTGATCTCGATCAGCCTACAGATTACAGTTTGAGATATGCTGAAGATGATACCGATGATGATGAAAAACAGAGTCCTGAGTACTTCTCAGGAAGTGTTCAGGAGGATACAGTAAAAACATATTGCACAGAAGGAACTCCTTATGAGACTCCTTTTAATTTTTCTACTGCAACTTCAATGTCTGATTTGCGGCTTGAAGATGCAAAGGAACCAATAGATTCACAGAAGAAGCTTAATAAAAAAGCTCTTGATCTTGATCGTAAGGAGGATTTGACATTTGAGCGTACTCTGCCTCTTAATTGTAATGAAGGTCGATCTCTTCTTGTTGAGAAAGAATTAGAAACTATGAAGACTTCCCAAGCATGCAAACCAGGTCGTCTCTCTCCTGAAAAATTGCTAGATTATTACCAACCTGGAACATCAAATGGCTTCTCCCGTGCCAATTCTCTCAGTTCTCTTGGTAGTGCAATAACACAAAGAAATAATGGTTCTGAAATTCCTAAAGTATCTCCTACAGATTCTACAGATAAGATTGACAGTAGGTCAGAAAGAGTAGATCACAATGTGACCAGTCCTAATGTTAACGGTTTACGCATATCTACAGAAACTGATAACTCAACAGAAGGAAAAAATAATCCTAGAGTTGTAGACAAAGAAGGTAAATATGACATTGTTTACACCAGTCAATAATTTATAGATTCTTGTAAAATATGTTGCTGTTTATTTCAGGGAAAATGGTGACATTCAGTAGACAGGATTACTACGCGGAGCAAACTCCGTTAATGTTTTCACGTTGTAGCTCTCTCGGTTCGCTAAGCGGTTTCGAACAGCATTCTATACACGATGATCGCAGCTCTGTCATCAGCGATTTTAGGCAATACTATTTATCATCTATGCAATTGAAGTTATCTAAACTTATCGAGATCAAGAACTATTGAAAATCTGAATTAACTTCCAACAGTCGTAGAACCAGCGGCGTTGTGTCTCCGAGTGAATTACCAGACTCACCTACACAAACTACTCCTCCTAGTCCTCGCAATCACAAGAGTCAATGCACGGATTTCATAAGCAAAATACCAGAAGAAGCAGTAAGACCGTCCGTTCGACATTTATGTATGCAATGTTATTGATTGTCAGCGAAAAAAATAGTAATAGTAAAAAAATAACGAGAACCATACGAATTTCGACAACACACTAAAATGAAATTAGTTTTAGCGATGGTATAATTTTTTCAATGGAGATCATTTTCAGCGTATTCAAAGTGTCACGCACCGCGGACAAGCGTTTTCGAAGATGACATTGCCACATTCAAAGAAGAGTCAACACCGATTGAATTCTCTACAGCTACTAGCCTGAGTTCTCTAACAATTGACGATGAGTTAAAGATAACTAACGGTTCTAAAATGCAGTCTGAGGTAAAAGACTCGTCGAATGATCTTGATAAAAACATTAAAGTTGAATCGTCAGAAGAAAAAGTAAATAATGCAGAGACTGAGAAAGATCAAGAACAAGTAAGCGATGGCGACGAGGATGATGAGGACATGTTAGCTGCTTGTATCAGCATGGGCATACAAAATAATAGGTATCATTTGTTTTTAGAATCTCTTTTGTAATGGCTGGCTCATGTGATAATTGCAGTTTCTATACTCTTAAATTTATTTCAGGTACAGACAATCTTTTAAAACATCTAATGTTCAGAAATCTATCCAGCCTGAATCCTCGAACATGCTGCGCTGCCAAAGGCCCGTGGTTTTGAATCAATTGGAACTTCGCGTTCCTGTTGCCAACATAGATACTTCAGTGACTGCTTCCAAAACGAATAAAAGCGCTATAGAAGTAGTTAGTGCTCCCGATACGATGCATGTATATTGCACAGAGGACACGCCAGCTGATATCTCTCCAGTGGGATCGCAATCCAATCTTTCCGCATTGTCTATGCCAAGCGTTCAAGAGGGCGTCGAGAGGATTGAAAAGGACAAGTCTTCCAGTGAAGTTGAATCCCATAGAAATGATCTCTCAGATGAGAGCTCTAATCTTTCTGGGGAGGACGAGAAAATTCTTGACGCATGTATTCAGTCAGGAATACCAAAGGTAATTATCTTACAGATAGCAATCTACTAGAAAGTAGTTAACACGTTGACTAATTGATTCTAGGTTCGTCAAATAACACCGCCACCGACAAGTTGCATTTCCTTTGCGCAAAAAGCAGATGTGTCTACGCAAATATTCAACAAATGCGGCACACCGTCATCGTCTCCCGTCGAAAGTAGGAATAAAAACCCTATCCACGGTAAAGCTCTCTGTCGCGCAACCTTGGAACACGACAATGGCCTTTCCGATGAAAGTCCTAATCATTCAGACGATGAGGCCGTTTTGAATGAGTGCATAAGATCAGCGATGCCTAAGGTTTGTTTACTGTCGATTAGACCTACTTAGGCTGTTAAAACATAAGCGAGACATTATCTCATTTCCGAGTGGATATTTTAGGTTAGGTTGAATATCTCGACTTTGATGGGACAAACGTTGCCTCAAACGGTTGACAAATTAAAAACTGCAACAATCAGAAAACCGTCCTCTTCCGTATCGTACAGTCAGTCTGAGTACGCTGAGCAGAACAAGCAGAAGTCGAAAAAACCCGTTGCTTTCGACGACAACTTGAGTCTATCGGAGGAGGAGGAAGATATTATGTTGGCTCAGTGTATTAAATCCGGCATGCCGAAGGTGAGAATGTCTGTGGCATTTTGAGAGCGACGTTATTATTTAATATCACTTACGTTACATCATTTTCAGGCATTGAATGGTTCGTCAAATTCATCTTTGGTGAATACGAAGAAGCAATCGGAACAGTATTCAAAGACCAAGGCCGCTACTAGTACTTCCTCTTCTTATTTTAACAAATCTGGCTCGAGTAGGAATGCCACTGTGCAGATACAATCGACGCATAGGTCTGTTCAAAACGGTTCATCGGTATTTATGCACGGAGGAACTTCCTGCATCCTTCACTCCGCAAAGGCATTAGACAACCGACGATTACTAGTAAAGAATGGCGGGATAAATGGATGCGAGAGGGTAAATCCATCGGCGTTGTGCAACAGGAAGTATTCGCAGACAGAGCAAGATCACGGCAGCGTCAACGAGAACAGTTCGACCCCCCTGCGTTCTCGGGTCCCCAATTGTAGATCCCCTATTTCAAACGGGACGGATAACGATGACGACGAACCCTGTCGCAACTCCGTGAAATCTAACGTGGCGCCCTCTCGTCACAGTTCGGTGAGTTCGCTCAGTGAAGAGGGATCCCTTGGGTCCATCGAGGAGTGGGCACTTTTGGAGCTGTGCATCAGCTCAGGCATGCCTAGGAATAAGTATCGTCTCAAGACGATAAAAGGCTCCGAAGGAAGCAACCACGAGGAACGCGACACGATAGCTGAAGATAATTACTCTATATGTAGCTACAATTCCTATGTTTGTAAGACGTAAACAAATTGTTAACACGTTTTGCTTTATCGACGGTTCTATGTATCATCTGTTGAAAGACTGAAGACTTTTTTACGATTATCGTTGAGATTGGATGGCGTGTATGGAGGTAGATAGGTGCCAGGGGAAAACCCTAAATTCGAAGGTAAACTTAGGCAACAGTTTATATCCCATTTTTTTAGGGCGGAGATTGTTCAATTTGTGGGACTTGCTCTGCGTGACTATAACGAAAACTATGTTAATCATCCAATAATCGTTGATTTTAAACTTGTGGTTAGCTATAGTATTCTTACTTCCTATTTTTTATATCAAATTAAACGTTACTCATTTCTGCTGCAGCATGTGATATTTATTCAATCGAAGAAGAAGGTATACAGATGAAAAGAGTATTTACTACGTGACTTGGGTGCTTTCTCTAATCGCTAGAATGTTTTTTAATCGCTAAGTATGAAGTTGCGGTGTACGTTAACACTTTATCTACCAGAGAAATTATTAATTATGTAACGTTATGTAGATTAATGTAACTAAGTTCTAGACTATCTAGACTGTTTCTAAATAGACCGGTAGTTAAAGTGTTAAGATCAGTAGGAACGTGTTAAGACGAATGTATTTCATATTTAGTGATTAAAAGTCTTAATCATAACACTATTACGCTATCGATAATAAAGTTTTCGACCCATTGATTTATTATAGAATGTTTCTTTGTCTTCCAGGATCTGTTGTGTACTGGGAAGTTGGTATTTTGTAATGTGCCTTTCCTTCTCCCTTTCCCTGTCGGACGTTCATATGTGTGCTTGCGTGCCTGTGTCATAACATTTAAGGCTCGGAAGAGATACCGCAAACTTGCAGAGCTGTGACATAATGGATCACGTACTACAATTTATTGCGTAGTATAAATTCACGATTGTTGTCCTCGAGTATTCATTTCCTGACAGTGAGAATGGTGTGTACCGTTTGAAATAGAAATGGCAGCCATTTAGCGTGATGTTTCTTGCAATTATTTACAGTTATTAAACAACTCAAAACACATTTATTGTTATGCAAACAATAAAGAAAAATTGATTGTATGTTTCAATGTTATGTTAATTTATACAATTACCAATTTCATTTTAACAGGTATCGCCTTAGTAGAGACTAAACTACTACGTCTTTTAGAGGAACATGTTCTATACTTGAACAGGAGCAGATTACAAAAGTAGCCGCTAATCACGGACACTTTCTAGCTGGCCTGCTAGATGATTACTATACCACCTTACTATAACACCTTAAATTATTGGACTGCTAATGAAGCTGACCTCATTTTAGGACCCTGTGGTTAGTTGCTACAATTGTTACAATTGCTACAAACTCCTCTTCTTATCAGTACAGATTCACGCAGTGCATTTAAATTTACCTAGGTACCCTTTTCACGAAGGCTCAGAGGGCAACAAAAGTTCGAAAAAAAAAATGACTTTTCAATAGAGTCGATGTGTTCAGCGAATGCACAGTTACAAGAACAAATCATGGGGGGAAGTACCGTCATAGAGTCCCAGAGTTCATTGATGATTACAGACCAAGGTCGCTAGAGCATAAAATGCGCCGCCTTTTGACCGCTAACTCTGGTGCCGTTCGATGACTCGTAATGACCACCTGACCACCGCGGTAGCCTATTTCCTGCACATATAAATCTTCATATAGCCACGGTGAATCGTCTTCAGTGCATTGAGACCAAGTTGGAGAAGACGTCTCCGGAGGTGCGTCGTGCGTTTCGAGGTAACGTTGCCTCCGTGAAAAGGAATTCAAGTTCAGTTGGGAAGTTGTTGAAGTAACTGAAGTTGGGAAAATTAATGTTCACTGTAAAACCGGAGGCTAATTTTCAATTATCGAATGCAGATGCACCCTCGTGCACTCTACTTGTTTGCACTTGTGCTTTCGCTCGCCGGGTGCGAAGAAAAAGCAAGATGGTACTCTGGGCTCCAAACAGTGCTTAAGAACTGCCCCGTGGAGTCCTGGAACAACCCCGGCCAGGATGACTTCTTGGAGAAGTTCCGACGTTGCGTGCAGGACCGTGCCCTGGCAGCTCTGGACTCCCTCCTGGAGGATGACGTCATACCGGTCTTCGATGGGCTGGACCTGGTGCGATTTCAAGAAAAGAGGATCAATTCTACGGGGAACCATATGGACAGGTAAGATTACTTATTTTAAATTTGTCAGCTTGTTTTCGAAATGTAACTCTAAATATTATTTTCGCAGCGAGCCTGAAGACGAGACAAACTGGACTTCGATAATCGTGAAACGACTGTTGCGCGTTCTGCGCACTCATGTGTTCAAAATTGACATTGATCATATCGCGAGCAATATCACGTCACCAGCCAGCAGTTCTAAAATGGAAGTAGAGAATAATATATTCGAAGGTAGGACACTTTAATATTGGGCTGTCTGGAAAGTCCATGGTGATTTTTAGTAGGCGGTACAGGTCTGAATATGTCAGAATAGCTGAAAACAAATAACATGTGTACACTCCTTAAAAGGTACAAAGGTTGTGGAACAAAATGGTACATATATAATTCAATAAATATGCATCAACATTCAAATATGTCTTTGAATTTTTCTTAAAAGTAGGCATGAACTTTCCGGACAACCCAATAGATTACTATTATTTTTATTAACTCTTCCATGTGAGTTCTCAACAGCTTCTCATTTGAGGCGTTAGGTTTAGGCTTGGTTTAGTCTGGTCAAGCTTGATTAAGTTCGATCGGGTCCGGGTTAGGTCTGATCAGGTCTAGTTAGTTTCGTACGTCGCTGTTAATTCGTTTCCGTTGTTATCAGGTCGTAGACGCCGTCTGAGACGCAGACATCAGCACATGATGCCTTTGATGTTAATGGGCTTCCTGCTGATGGGCTCCATCTTCATCCCCATGGGATTTCAATTCTTAGCCGTCCTCGGTGGCAAAGCGTTGCTCCTAGCTAAGATGGCTCTGATACTCTCTAGCATCCAAGGATTGAAGAAAATAGCGACCAACGGAGTCAATTATGGATTGTACCATGTTCCTCCTGTGCACGATCACGGCTGGCATGAAAGGAGCCATATAGAGCCACCCCCGCATCACATGGATCTACCTTTCCAACACCATTCACCTTTGCTTCACCCTTAACCCGTATTTTCTGATTTTATTGAATTGTTCAGAAAGTTCGTGCCAATTTTTAAGAAAACTTTAAAGGCACATTTGAATTTTGATGTATATTTATTGAATTATATAAGTACCATTTTGTTCCACAATTTTTCCACCTTTTAAGGGATGTCCATATGTTATTTGTTTTCAATCATTCCGATATATTCAGACCTGTACCGCCTACTAAAAATCGGCATGGACTTTCCAGACAACTCAATAGTACATGTGTTTCTGAGCACGTAAGAGTGCAACGGGTTCATTCTCTCCTCGTCGACGATCATTACAAAAATGTAAGATCGTCTAGATCCCTAGATCCCTTCAGCGAATAAGTCTTCCAGTAGCGAATTATGGCAAGTTTTTTTATCGAACAGATTGTACCTTACGTATAGATATATTGTAATGATTAGACTGCGGATTTTTATGCATTTATAGGAAGTTTGAATGCACAACAAAATTACAAAATGCAGACAATGTGCAAGAATATAAAAATAATGAAAGTAAAGTTCACATTATAATATTTGCAGGGTAAAATGAATTCCTATTTAGGTTCAAATATTGTAGGTACGTTTGGTAACATTTTAATTTGCATAAAGATCCGCAGTCTAGTAATAATCATCAGATTGAGACTTAGAAAATGTGTACAAATACATTTTAAACAGAGATCAGGTTGAGGATTGCGCGGTAGATACTTTAACGAAACAAAGTGGCAGGTAAATATCTTTATTTAAACTATATGTATATACAAATGATTGAACGCAAAGGCCCAGAATTAACTTCTACGTCTAATAAACACACTTCATCCACCTCTTCGGCGGGATCCTCATCCTAGGATTAGGTTTTATTAAGACCTCTGACCGTGGTGTTTATCCGAAGGGGTAATTGCTATAAGGCGTACCAACGATTGCGAGCGGTATGTTTTCGGAAGAAACACTTCCAATCAATTACGGTTACCGCTCTTATTTCGATCGATATTCCCTATCCTTGATCCTCGAAAAATTAATAAACAAAAAAATCCCGAAAAAGTAGAAACTCGAATCAAGTTCAAACACTTTCTTAATTCCTCGAAAGATCAACGATGGTGTTCGATGAAAATTGAATCGCCAAGTTTCGAAGTGGGTTTTATAAACGCGAAAGGCCGATAAACATTGTAATGGAACACGAATAAGAACGGCGACGTAAACGCATTCAGAAGAGTATCGATTATACAAAGTGTCCTCTTCGTTATACAAGAATAGAGAACTGAATTATTCACCGGGATGCTTCTGAATTTTATTAAATCACGTCCGTGAGATTTACGGCATCGGTTCTTGGGAAAACCGCTAGCCGCGGTAATCGTTTTGTCATCGATTGTTTGATCAAGTAAAACGTTTCTTAAATCTAATATTTATCGCCGGCAATCGTAAGGGCGCCGTTAGTCTGCGAAACGTTTAAAGGGTAGTCGGAAAAAAGTGTGCAACTCTGACAATTTTTAGGACGTATAATAAATGTATAATAAAATAAATTACGTGTATACGTATGAAGACATTTTTGATTAGGTTGTCCGAAAAGTTTCTTTCGTTTTATTAATAAGTAATGCATACACAATATTTTATGTCTAATGTTACATTATTGAATTGTGTACGATTCATTTTGCTCCATTACTGTTACACCATCAACATCTAAGAAATTAGATCGTCTATTTATATAAACACTACCGCACAAAATAATTGAGTGCAAATTACGAAAGAAACTTTTGGGACATCACTTTTCCCAGAAGGGGTTTCCACAGCTGGAAAGAAATCTTCCACGATTGTTTCCGGTCAGTATTATGTATTATTTATTCTGTATTCGTCCTTTTTTGATCGATTTAACTAATCGAACTTTTTTGCAGAGTCAGACATGGATCGCTTCGAAGACTTGCGGCGCGGTTGAACGTCCTGCACGCATCTCACCTGTCCGTCGGCTGTACACATTTCCCCGACAACTCTCTTTCTGCTAAAACCGTCGAGCGCGTACACTTGTATACACCTCCTTCACCGATTGTGCGGGGGTTGTAGATCGTAGCGACCATCGGATTGTAACTCGTAAGCTTCTTACTAAAATTTAACGAAACGACGATGAAACATTTCTACGTAACCGAAAGTTACAAATAACTTTCTAAAGTTATAGAATTACTATAAAGTTAAAGCTCCACGCCTAAGTAAGAGACTCGCGGAAGAAGTTGAAAGAAAGACGTTGGAAGTTTTATCAGCGTTATCGTCGCGAGTTATGTCGGAAACGTCGGGGGATGCGCGGCGTCGACGAATCGCGTGCTGGACCAGCGGCTATAAGAGGGACGCCGCGCGTCGCGACGCCGCACAATCCTCAGTTCGTCCTGACGCGGGGAGAATCAGTGGACACGAAGAGAACCGAACGTGCGAGAGGTTTACTCGCGTTCCACGGAACGTCTCTTAGACGACAACTGTGCTAGTAGGTGTTCCTCTATCGATAAAAACGATGAAGAAGATGGTCGTCGATGGATCAACCCGCCAACTATCATGGCCATTGCTATTGGTTGGCCTTCTGCAAGCTGCCTCAGCTTTAATTAAAGGGAATTCCGATTATCAGCACTATCAGCAACAGGTATGGTCCACCTTGGTTTTGTTTATTTGCTAGATGAAATTTGTTTATTCCTTCAGGATGATAGTAAGAGAACAAGGAGAGAAATGAAGTATACTAAGCATGCAAAATCATTTTGAAAGATTTAAGAAAATCACAGGAAAGAAGATTAAAAATGAAAATACTCCTAAATAAGGGGTTTCTAGAAGAATGTCTAAGAGCAATTTTCTGTTGAAAATTAATTATAGAATTGACTTCTTGAGCTTGTTCTTAACTATAGACACCCTATATTCTTTCATTTTGAAAGATTTAAGAAAATCACAGGAAAGAAAATTAAAAATGAAAATACTCCTAAATAAGGGGTTTCTAGAAGAATGTCTAAGAGCAATTTTCTGTTGAAAATTAATTATAGAACTGACTTCTTGAGCTTGTCCTTAACTGTACACACCCTGTATTCTTTCATTTTGAAAGATTTACGAAAATCACAGAAAAGAAAATTCAAAATCAAAATACTCCTAAATAAGGGGTTTCTAGATGAATGTCTAAGAGCAATTTTCTGTTGAAAATTAATTATAGAACTGACTTCTTGAGCTTGTCCTTAACTATAGACACCCTGTATTCTTTCATTTTGGAAAAGTATTTGAAAAACACAAGGGTTGTGTTAATGAAATGAAAATTTCATTTTGCACGTTTCATTTATTCAGATACATATTCATTTATATTTTTAACATTCTATATTTGAATCTATTAATATGTTACAGTTGACGTAATAATTGACCACTCGCAATCAATTTATATTTTCAAAATAGTAGTTTGCAATACCTTGGAAGAAAATATGAGAAAAATATCAGGATCAGAAATACTAAAACAGTATTTCTCCAAACAACATGTAGCGCACCTGTTATTTTATAGGCAGCCATCCCTTCAAAGATACAGATAACGAAGTTCCCATCGACCCTTACCTGAAGGATATTTACATTTCCCTTCCTCTCTCATGGTAATTAGGCGCAAAAACACTTTAAAGGGTAAAATAAAAGTGTCTTTGATCGCAGCTCCTCTCATTCACGACACCAGCCAAGCGTTGGAATTTTTAAAATCAATATCTCTCTTCAACCCCGCATTTATACCAAACGAATAACTATTATTATTGTTACATTATTGTTTAAAATATTCGTAGTTTATCGCTCAATGTAACGATCACTTCCACGAAGATAATATCTCGTTGTTCTTATTTTCCCTAGAAATTTCAATTTTAACTATCCCTTACGAAAAAATTTCAACTTGAACAGTATATTAGCTTCTTTACACTTTTTACACTTCGAGGCGGACATTAGAGCAGTGCGTAGCATAGGCGACTACCACGCTGAGATCCCGGGTTCGAATCCCCCGGGGCGTCCGTTCCGGTTTTTCATGGTTCGATTAGGGCCGATTAACAAATATAAGGTATAGAAAAGCCTGTGG